GCATGTTCATATTTTAGTTCTTATATTTATTTAATTCTGCTGCTTGTTGACTTATTTTTTACTAACCTCTGCATCACGCTTTTATTATATTTAGCACATCCAGCATCATTATTATTATTTTTTATTTCTTTAACTAAACATGATAACCGAAATATATCTGAACCAGTAATGGAATGGTTTAACAATGTAATAACTAACAAAGTAAACAAAAGTCAGCTGTTAGCAATCTTTGTCCAAACTTAATAAGTGGTAGTAGTGTTAAATCTTCTGTCAAATCAGTTGTTTTATCACAGCGTTCCAACACTTCCTTTTGTTATCTTTATAATGACACAACAGAAGTTATAGTGAACTTTGCAATGTTTAATAATACTAGAGTGTGTGCTGATAGGCCAAACGTTTCAACTAGGTGACCTAATTATCGGAAGTTTTTATTTAGTTTCACCTGTGATGATGATAAATCCACGTAGTCTTAACTTAGCAATGAAAAGGAATACCGTGAAATTTGTGTATACCTGGGGTATATTATACTTATACTATACATTGGTTATAGTACTGTACATTCAGCCTACCTCAAATAATTACAAAAACAATTAATTAATCGTCAGGATGTCTACGAACCAGGAAAACTGGGAATTGTACTTAATTTTGTGCTGGCCATGAAATGTACGGGATTTGTCCTTAGATATCAGACTATGTCCTTAAAAAATTAGGAAGTTTCTGCGGTTGATATATTAACAATTTTTTTCGAATACGGATGATAACATTTCCATGACCGCAGTAGATGAAAATTTATTTAGAATTAACTACAATCGCGGAAGATATTCAGGATATTGCAGTGATCGCGGATGACGATGATAACGTTTCCGTGACCGCAAGAGACGATGATGTTGACCACACGACTGCGGGAGGTGTGTCAGTATTTTGCTGCGACGTTGATCATGTTTCTGGGACCGATAAAGATATTCAGGATTTTGTCACTGTTGCGGGGAATGATGATACTTGCGTTTTTGTTACACTATAAAGCTGTAACTAAAGTTAATGTTTATCTCATTTCAATCAATTTCTATTTTGAAACATAACTTTTGTCTTTTGTTACTTACTTTTTCCTCTGGTACACAAGCAATGACAGTGAAGAACAAGATTAATACAGTTTGACAAATCAGATAATTATATTTGGTAACAACGACTTGAAGATAACGACAAGGTGTCCCTAAATGTACGGGAATTGTCCATGAATTTTCTATCCAGAATGAAGACACCCTGATAGTAGAATTAATATAAACCTACGACTCAACTAAAAATAAAGTTCTCAACAACAGGTTAAACTGTTGGTTGAAGTTTCTGCATAAAACTTCTGCAATTGCTGAACGACGTTGGTTCCAAAACAGAATTACAACCACGTACACTAAATGTGTCAAAAGCTTGTTTTAGTCGGCTAACGTAATGTTAATTCCAGAGTCTGAATATAACCAGTCACTGGTTTTACCTATGAGTCATCTAGGATCTATTTATAGTTAACAACCTCTACCTCAAATGCATACTGAACAAGCTGTTGTTCAACAGGATTAATTCAATTGCAGCGTCTTTCAACTCCTTAAACTTGTTTGGGTGTTAAAGGGGAACTTCATTAGGCGTTTCGGTCTATGAAGTTATACAGTATTTTGTTCTACACAGGGTTAACCTAAAATATGACAGGTTTGCTAAAACATGGTTAAATTGTAGCCTCAATGCCAGTAATGTATGACAAGTAACCTCTATTTTAAGGAACTATGTACTATGGTACAAAAGTAGTGTGTATTGATTGGATCTGACATAAAAATTGCCCTGTAAAAAACATTTTCCTTTGCTCAGTTAACCATTGTTGTACAGGGATGTTATTCTTAATGTGGGGGTGCTATGCAGGGAATTGGTTTAGATTTATAAAAAAAAATAATAGGGTGTGTTGTTTGTAATCTACGCAAGTATAAATTAAATTTAATAAAATTATCAATAAATTAGTATATTGCGTTTTCAAGTGGATTAGAAAAAACTACGCTATACCAAACAATAGGTTTAGTTTACAGCAAGGTTCCACTGTAATTTAACTACTCTATACAAAAAATAATTTTAAATGTAAACTTTTATCAACATTTTTTAATCAATTTTTGTGGCCCCTGGACTATTTTGTTTAAGAGTTTATTTAGTTTTACGTACCCCTGAGGTCAAATAGTCCAAAAATTAAGATTGCACAATTGTGTTGATTGATTAGTCGTTGGACTATTTGACGGAGGTACGTAAAACCTATTGTGTTGATTTAAAATTAAAATAAAAGTAGTAAATTTTTCTTTTAAGGATTAAGAAAATTTGTTTCTTCTTGTTGTTTATATATCTCTGATATCTGATTCAAAAAAACCAAAAGAACTGTAAATACTGTAAATATTGTAAATATTCTTGTAAACAGATTTTTAACGTTGACCTCATTTTTTGCTTTCTATAGCGCTTGAGCTTTTCTATTGAGTTACTCAATAATATTTATACTTTTATCAAAATTTTCATTCAGCCTTTTCTTTTCAGATGTCTTAACAGTGACTTTGAGGCCAGATTCTACCTATTCAGTCTCACTCTCATTTTATTTGTAAAAAGTCAATAAACATTTTATATTTAACTGTTATCTAATATTTATAAATGTTGTTAACAATATTTTAGTATACGTACACTAATTCTGGTTGGCAAATTATTGTCATTAATATTTTGCTAATACTTCCTTAATGTTATTTGTAGTACAAAAATTAAAAAAAAATAAAATTTTTTAACAAGTCTCTGAATAATTTTGAATTTGTTTTTAATCATAGTAAATTAAGAAGTATTTGCCTTAAAATATTTTTTTCCACTAAAACAAAATTATACCAATAAAACCTGCATCAAAGGTTTTGATTTTCTTAGGATACCTAACAAAATTAGAAACTTGAATGGAACACCGAAATGTTAATTTAAATTCCAAATCGAAAGCTTTGATTTTTTGCATGTATGTTGAATAGTTAGCTGTTTGTACATAAATTTAGTCTGAAGTATTCTAAGTGTGAAATTATTTTCAGGTGTTTGTAAAATGCTATGGTTTACTCAACTAAAATTATAGACCCAGGGAACAAATAGTCAGTGACTAAATTTGCAATTAGTCTTTGAAGATAAGTTTGAAGTATGTCGGTAAATAAATCAAATTGATGTCAAAGTACATTTAGACATAAACAGCAAAATTTAGCACAAAGAAAAACAGGTTAAGCAAAACTTTACCATAATCGAGATTCTTAATGAAAGGCGTGTTTTTCTAAATTTTTTTCCCACTGCACTTAATTATAATCATAAATAAGCATGAGATAATGTAGAATTTAACGGTTAATATTATATTAAAATTGAATACAATTTGAAAAAGACTGAAAGTAGTAGCCTACGTTAGTGTTCCCAGGAAAAAATTTACTATTCTAGTTATTTCATCTGTTATTTTACAATTATTTAAAATCATCACTTTATTTTAGCAACATTTTTCTTGAACATTTATTTACTTTTTTGGTTATGGAGCATGTGAAAGATCAAATCCCTCTTATAAAGAACATCGTCGAATCTGGTAAGTAAATAAAATTATAGTGTTTATTATTATTTTACTTTTTTCTACTTGATTTTTTCAACTTAAGTGAATCAGTTTACATTTTTTTATGTTAACATTTTTATTTAGGCCTACATCTTTTCTGGTGTGACATCAAGTTGCACTTTTGATACTGTTGAATCAGAGAAAAGCATTTATGAACTAAACCGATGTGAGATCTTGACGTTTGTGGGTTTATTCCAAATACACATTGTCGATACATGCAGTGAGTGGAAGCACAATCGCACATTGTAGGTAGTTCCAGATTTACCTCTAGGCCTAGGGCCACAATCAATAGAAGGCTATGGTGTTTTAATTACAAATGGAATTTTTTTAAATTAATAATTAGTCACAATGATGTCCTATTATTGAGGGAGATGTTCACGATTTCACCATGAATGCGAGAAAGTTCCACCTAAAGCCACGGGATTATTTTGCTCGGGTGATTTTGGTCTAGGAACGTAAGTACCTTTTATCAGGCACTGCTTGTAAGTAACCCGGGAACAACCACAAGTGAAAGAACAGGACATGCCGAAAACCGCATTGTAGAGTAGGTTCCCACAACACAATTTCATATATCAAGTTGTCAGTAATTGCCAAATCTTTAAGTTTCTATAGACGAGTTACGTAATTCCATTGACTGTCATTTTCACTTTTAAACTTGCCAATTCATCCTAACCTACATTAAGAACCAAACAGTACTTTGTGTTGTTTAAACTTCGATGATTTAGAAAAATGTTACTGTGTTGTCTACCTACATTGATTATTAGAGTACTCATTTTGCACACACAATACATATATAATAATTTGTTATAAAATATGTCACATATAAAATGTATATAATAATGTTGCTCATCCATTCAATAGTCATGTAGTAAATAAGAAGATCCAAGGAAATAATCACAAAGTTATATGTGGGAAGCAATATGTGGTCATTTTCAGGGATTAAAATAAATTTGTTAAATGTTTCATGCAATTTTCTATATTTCTTGTTAATTCTAACAATTTGGTAATCCAAATAGGGTCTGGTCCCAACTAGATTAGCACTCTGGTGTCATGATAGATACGCCTACTCACAGAGAAGTAAGGAGATGAAACACGCTTATAGGATGACAATGTGCTTTCAGCTCTGGTATGTTGTGCGGAAATAAACTTTGTGACGAAAAAGGAAGAGCTTGAGTGACAAACACAGTGGAAATTCCTATCACACAGGATTTTAGTAGGCCTACATTATGGCGAGGGTCCCCTGGAGAGGGGCGATATGAACTTTGCCCTTTTAAGTGTTGGATCGGAGTGTTTCCTCTGTTCCTTACTTCTCTGTGGCCGACTTAAATAATCCGTTAGCTCAAATGTCTTACTCACCCCTACGTGCCTGTTGCAGGACAGTGACAATGAGGATGGTGCCGGCGGGGCAGGTGGAAGTGACCCCACAGTGACGTCACAGCCCAAGTCGTCCAGCAACACTAGCAACGCCCCCATAGTGCTGGGGCCGCCCAGCGAGAGCTCCGCCCTCAACTTGCAACAGCAAACTACTTACACTCCAGGTAGTGCGTGTTCACCCCAGCCATAACACACTAACAACATAAACTGTTAGCGATAAAATGTAGTGTACTGTGCCTTAAGGTTGTGGGTTCGAATCCTGCCAATCACCAATGGTTTTTATCCAAGTGAAAATGTCGTTACCCCCTCTAGACCTATCCTGAAGCAATGTGGAAAACAATGCCGTGCTAGAACATAAAGGAATAAAAAATTAAATAAATAAAATTAAAAACCTCTAGGCCTAGCCTGATATAATATTCGGGGCTACATCCAAGGATGTAGTTGGGTAAAAAACACAGTGCATGTTGGATAATTTGAACAACATTGAGAATTTGAACAACATTAGGAGAAATTCCCTTTGGGAGGTATTCCTCATCTGAAAAATATCAGGGGACCAGCATAAAAAAACCAGGGTACCCACTCAACCGTAAAACCTTAAAACTGTGAATGAGCTTTGAATTTTGTCAACCATGAAAAACCCAAATTGAGTTGTAAATCTTTTGTACCCGTTAATTTTGTGGTTAAACCGTAGTGATAAGAGTAATTCCTTTAAACTGTTTCTATATAATTCAATCAAAAATCCTTTATTCATGCAGAACATAAAATGTGCTGCAAATATGTATTTTATGCCACAATGATTCTCCTGATGTACCCACCCTTAGGCCCATTGATATCACAAAAATATGCAAATATGACTGTGAAAACTTTCTACAAACCTTGAATTGAATTTTCAAGTTTGAGTGGGAACCCTGCACAATCATAACATTTGTAGGTTTAGCTTTGCTTTGGTAATGACATAAAAAATGTCTAAAATCGAAACTGAAAGTATGATAATAGTACTCTTATGGTGTATGTAGAGGTTAAAAAGTGTTGTTTATGTAAATTCAACACAGATTACTTAAAAGGATAAGAATGAACAGTTAAAATGATTAGAGAAAGAAAACACTCTTCCATATCTGACAAAGACTAAATTGTTCTTATTATAAGGTAAAAATGTTGCATTGTTAAAAACATTTGCTTTACCTACCTTGTAATCCAAATTTATTTGCTCTATATCCAGATCTAAAATAACTTTATTCTCAAAAACTTCATCTATCACAGGTCAAAATTACGGAGATGATATGGAAGGTAACCAAATAAAAATATCAGCTTTGCATGTATCTGACTCCTCGACTTTACAACAATTATTTAGTTTATATTTATCTATTTGATTACACCTCCTCATGCAGATCTTGATTCCCACTTAAGCACTATTACATATCTAAAAGCTACATAACTCACTCATATCTTATTCTTTGACAACACTATGACTCTTTGACATTACCTATGTTTTAACCTAGCATGTTTCATTTCCGTCCGTTTTAAAACTATTTTTTTATCTTAAGTTATTTTCTTGACATATTTTACATTCTGCTATTCTCTTGGATATGCATGAGGGTTTATGTTTGGAAAACTTTATAAAATTAATACAAATTGTTAAATACATTTTCTATTTTCGATTAGTTTAGGTTGTTTTGGAAATTATTGTTTGTTAAAGTACATAAAGATTTGTTAATATAAAAGGCAAGTTAAAAGATATGACTTCGTTCAAATGCAAAAGTTGTTAGAACGGTAAACGAACTAAATCAGATTAAAATATAAAACCATCTATAAAAAAGGCATGGCGATAAAGCCAGAATTAAGTTGGTAAGAAAATGAGTTGATTTATTTTATTAAATATTTTTAACCTAATAATTAATGTATTTTTTCACAAATACTGTGTCTATATTGTATAATCAGCATGTTTTAGTTGCCTACAAAATGTAAGTATACTTTTACCTTTCTATTGTATTTTAATATTCCAAACACAAAGTCTAAATGAAGTTTTCTTATCTTTTAAATGTAAATATTTATGTTTAGGGTGTTTTTTTTTCAAACCAACCAATTTTTGTGATGATTCAATAAAAATTAACAGAAAACTATTTCCAATGAAATATTCTACATTTTACACAATTTTGTGAAACTGAAACTGAAAACTGATGTTAATTATTTTAAAATATAATCTTAACGTAGTTTAGTATGTAACTTTTAATTAGGGAATACATGATTAATTAAATTTGACATTATGTACATTAACCGTATGGAAAGTATTTATTGACAGTAGACTCTTGATATCCGTAAAGGTTATCCGACATTTAGCGTTATCCAATCTAACAATCTTCTGTTTTCAATCGTGTATTGCGAGATTGAGTGATAATTTCCTGTGTGACTTGATTCTTTACTAAAGCTGATGCGTTTTATCTAATAATTTACAAAATTTTTCTATACTGAAACTGTAAAATTCTACAAGTCTTTTAGGTCTACTGTATATTCAGGAGGAGCGAGCTGGTCAAGTAGTTAGAGTGCGGGACTGAGGTCCCGGGTTCTAATCCCACGAAGTCAGCTTGAAGTAATGTGAAAAACAATTCCGGGCACGTGTCTAGCGTCCTAGGAAAAAAAAACTGTATATTCAGGCCTAAAGAAGACTTAGTTTTCCACTGCAGAATAATCAAATAAACTATGGTTGGATAATTAATGACAATATGGCATCTTTTGTGAATATTGTAAATTTTGTTAGTTTTCCCAATTTTAAAATCAGCTGTTAAGTCCATGTTAAGTTCCCGTGTTGTTTCAGGGATGACTCAAAGTGGATCCCCGAGCCACATGGGCTAGAGAGACGGAGATAGCAGACGACGGAGCTAGCAGACGACGAACTTGTCACTCCATGGCTGTGTCCTCTCCTCCCCTCGCACTTAGCTACACAGTATTCATGCTTTGAGCAATATTCAACTTTCAACCCCTCCGCCAACCTAAGGTTCCCACGTTAAAGTTTAAATTCTAAGATGTTGTCTTCCCTAGGCTTTGCTTGTCAGAAAGTGTAGACATTCCTAATTTGTATGTAATTTTGTTTGTGGTACAGTGATTCAATTGCTGGTCTTTTGTCACATTATTTGAAATTTTTGAGGATTTAATGCTTTGGTATACTTTGCCTGTTGTATTTCAAGTTTAACACAAGTTTAAGATCCAATTTTAAGTTTTGTGGTTTTGTTTTACATTTGCAGGATAGTTTTAAGTGGATTATAATTATGTGTCATAAACTTGTACAGAGTTATCCCTTATGGTAGTATTTACTTATTTATATATTCACTAAACTTTAAAAAACATATTTCATGAATAACATCCGTCATTTAAATTCAAGATAAATTTTTTAAAAGTACTTTAACATTTTGTTGTATGGTTTGAAAAACCACTGCTATTTAATTAATAATTTCCTTTTATTTTACAGATTTTGTGATCAAACATCACTAATAAAAAAGTTCACCATCGGTATGGTTCCCTTTTACCTAGTCAAATAGTTTTAATTCGAAGGAAAATCTTTAACTTATTTTCATTGTTGATGAATTTATTTGTTGCATTTTACATTTACAATATAGAAATGTTCTGAACTTTGTTGCGTGTTCTCTGGTTTAATTATTTATTACTTTTTTTTTTTAAATTCAAACATTTTTATTTAAAATCAGCAATTTTGGAGGAGAGAAACTTGATATGATAGTTAATATCTTGATAATCATAATGTACTACTATTTAATTGTCGTATAAAGTAATAAAAGCACTCAATACAACTTTTTTGTTGTAGTTTAGAATTATGTTTTGTATACTTAAATAATTGTAGATATCGATAACGTATTGTTGATATTGTAACTTGCATCCTATGTTTATAGTTAGTTTATAAAACCATCGTAAAATACTTTTAACAACACAGGTACTTTACATGTTACTTTTCCAATGTCAAATTGCATTATCTACAATAAAGTTTTTGATTTTAGTTTAACTTTTATTTTATTTTGTCCTCTTTTAATTTCTCTTAGACATGATTTATTTTACTACACGTTTTAGGTAATTTCTCTGTAATTCTTACTTCAATATTTTTTTTAGTTTTTTGTATTTACCTCAAAGTTTTTAAAAAGTAGTCAAGAATATAAGGATGTAACATGGAGAGTATGGGCCTAGGTTAAAAGGATTTTTGTCGGTATAGCAGGCTTACCTGAATAGGAAAAAGCGTCAACTTTGGCAAAAGAAACACTTACTACTTGTGCCGTAGTGGACTCTTCCCAATTAAAAGAAAGCCTAATATTCCAACAAAAAAATCATTAAACTATTTTATCCAGTATCATTATTTTCACTTTAGAATTCTTTACACAATGCGACAAAACTAAATAATGTTCTTAACAATGCTATATGTCACTACTAATTAATACAGTAGAACCTCGATAACAAGTTGCCTGTGGCATTATCAAATAAGACTTGTATGTTGTAATCGAAGTAAACTTTCTATAAATGTTACATCGTTGATTAGGGGTGGTATAAAATCAAGATTGAAAATAGCACTTGTTATCAAGAGTGATTTGTTATTGAGGGTGACTTGTTATCAAGGTTCTTTACATAAAATACCTCAGGTGTTTAGCTCATTCTTATAATATTTACCATATCACAACATTCTAAACGTCCACCGTTAGTATGCTTTCGTGTAGTGACACAGCCATGTACGTTTGTTGTACATAGTCTCAGTACTGTACAATATATCTGTACAGTATCCTAGCTTAGCGATTGTATTTTATAAAATCTAGACAAAATAATCGTTGACGCTTCGCCACTCTCCCTCGTTGTTTATTGTTGTATTTGTTGCACTCAAGGTTTGTTTACCCTTCAATTAAAACGGAAGAGACGCATATTCAACTCGTAGATCAGAGAATTCAATGCAGTATATTTTTTTTTAATATTGTTAAATAATCGATTACTCAGGGTTGAATAGTTAACTGTTGTATTCTTAAGTGTGGGTTTATATTGTATTTTTTTATTTCTCACCATGAGTTGATAATTCAACAAATAAATTTAAAAAATATATTGGAATTTGAAGTTATCAACAGAATTTATTTCAGATTTTTACTCAGCTGCAAAGGGAAAAAGACATTTTTTTAAATACAAAACCAAGAGGCACATATTTTGAGTTTTTTTTTATTTAAATAAAAAGTTTAAAGGCCATTTGCTTAGTACAATTAGAAACCCTATATTTTATTTTGAAAGGTTATAAAAAACAAGAACTACTAGTTAGGGCTTGGAAAGTTTTAAAAATTTGAAAACACTGCCTTGGTTAGACAATAATTTGTGTCTTACACTAATCTAGCATGGACTGCATTTTTGGACAGATTCAGAAATTTTAATTCTTAATAAGGAATTGACTGGCATCTCATCTCAATTCCTAAAAATGACAATCTGCCAATAATCATAACTTAGTTTTTGTTTTACAATTGTAAATAAAAAAAAAATTAGCGGAGTTTCATTTTTATTATGGCAAATAGTCACTTTCAAAACAATTACACATTTGGTAACCTCTAAAAATGTATTAAATTTGTATATGTGTTTAAGAGAACTAGAACTACAGTATTTAGTTTAAGAACAAACTTAAAAGAGATCAAATACCCTTGTCACATTCTTAGAAAGCCTTTCACAATCGAAAAACAGATTAGAAGACACGCCATAAAGTTTTAAATGGCCACCATTCTGAATTTTCCTCATTGGAACTGATAGATTTTTTAAGGTGTTGTGTACGTAAAATTTTAAAGTTGTGTGCATGCTAGGTTTCAAAATTAATTAATGAAATATTTAGAAAACCATTATACCTATTGCAATTATTTTATGTATCTTCTTTACCTTTAACAGCTTTTTAATCCATCACAAAATTAAAACTTCCTGTGCTTTGTCAATAAACCCTAACTCTTCCCTCGATAAAGTTACTGACGTTACTGTAAAACATCTTACATCTTCAAAACTATTGTACATATTATTATTTTGGAAATATATAAAATATTAATTGCTGTTGTGTTTGATCAAATATATATATTTTTTGGTCTAGTTAAATTTTAATTGTCAAGTTATAACATGCGGAGTAGTGTTTAATATATATAACATATTGAGAAATATCCAAGTTATGTTTTAATGCATGGTACTTTAGGTATAACATAACTAATTTAGTGTAAAAATTATGCCTAAGCTAATTAATTAAGAATAAACTTGAAGAACTGTAGTTTCTTCGTATGATATACTGTTGTTTGTTAATATTGCAAAGTTTCAACTTTGGAACAGTTCATTCCTATTTGTGACTTTTTTTGGAATGGACCAACGGAAAGAAACTGCTCTTTAAGGTGGAATAAGTTAATGGACAAAAAGTTTAATTTTTTGAAATCTTATAATGTTATCCCCTTAACAAACTTAAGTGCAAAGACCTTAGGAAAGAGGCGACTGGGCAGTTAATTTAGGGAGTTAAACTTCATCTAGTTATTTTAGACGATAACGTAACACAATGTTTTGAAATGTATCCATTCATTTTATATAACAGTAGAACTCTAATTATCCGAATCGCATACAGAAAGTATTTTACAACCTAAAACTACAGTACTAAGAAAAGCGTTATTAAAAAAGGCAGAAGCCGTGCTCGTGGCAAAATCCTTAACATTTTTTGCAGTTGTGTAGACATCATCATCGTCTTCAGTGAACACGGTAAAATCTTGAGTATCGCTCACAGTTGTGTGTACATCATCATCGTCTTCCGCAAGGAAAAATCTAGTACATCTTTCACGGTCATGTAGACATCATCATTGTCTCACACAATCATGTGAATTGTCCAATTGCAAAATCTTTGTAGTGCGTTAAAGAAATAAAATACACCAAATTTTTGCAAAATCCACTATTTGAATGTTTCATCATCGGAATGTTGTGAAGTCCGAATTGATTCGGATTATGCAGTTCTACTGTTAAATATACGAGAGGAAGATTACTGGTTAGAAGTTTAGGTTTGAGAAATTGTAAAAAATCATCCTACCAAATTTACGCCTCTGCGCAATCTTTACTGCCAAAAGTCTAAATCCTCCCTAAGCGCCAACCAACTAGGAATGCCGAGTCTGCCTCTCGATGTGTCCAAAGCACCTTTCTTCATATACATAATTGTTTATCACTCTGTAAACTCTGTTACACATTACCCCACGAACCATCAAAATGTATTTATCGCAGTACATCTATAAACATAGCTATTTTGTAATCATAGTTGGGTGATTTTCCACATGCGGCATAACGTACTTAACTTACTAGCGTTTAACGAAAGTGTTTTACCATGTATATAGTTTAGTACACCAGTTTCCTTTTTGTATTCACTTTCGCAAGATGGGGTGTGTGTGGTAGAAAGTTACAGACAATATCTTAGTAGTTGGTGTGCCCAGTGTTATAAGTGTTCAAATGTCAGATGGTTTAATAAACATTAACTCCATTAAACATGTGTTTATTTCACCTTTTACTCTAATGGTTTTTGGAGGAATTTAGGTTATTTAGGTCTAGAATTTAGGTTTAGGTCTACAGGTTATAGGGTTAATTTATCAAATAACTGACTTTAAATAATGCGTTAAATTTCCCACTGTTTATGTGTGTGTTCATGTGAGTGATGTTTGAGACATTTATTTGTAAAGTCGTTAGTCAGATAAAGCAAGAAACAAAAATAGTAAACAACAAAAACCCCTCTACAACAATCGAACATAATTAACCTTCAAATTGTCATTAGATGAAGTATGTATATGGAGTAATTTTAATCTACAATTTGATTTTTATTTTTAACAAATTTCCCATATAGGGAATAAGCTATTACCGTAGGTCTCATGGTAAGAGACTGGGATATACATATATTCACGTGATAAACTATATCACGAGAAGACCTGGGACCAATTTACTTTTTTGTTTTGAGGTCCCCAGAGACCAAAAACACCCTTCGTTCAAATTCATATATATCTATATAATTAATACGGGAACACGAAGTTTGTCGATTGAACTCCTCCGCCATTTCTTAACCGATTTTATCCGTTTACGTCTCATTGGATCTACGCGTGTCGCGTAGATTTGCAAACTGGCCTTACATTTTTTTAAAGTCTCTTGGGCTCTGCCCCAGTGGCTTTGAAAGTTCCCATGTTATCCTTATGAAGAACATAATTGTTTACAATTTGATCAGCTGTATAATTTAATTGCTGTTATTTATTTTTCAATTCAACAAAACGCATTGGGTACATTAACTGATTTTTAAAAAATTAAATATTTACTACTTTAATTTACATTCGTACATATTACAATGTAACAAATTGAGAAAGCCTGGGCAATTTGACCAAATAAGAAAAATGAATTGACAGAGTACTGTATTTCTTGAGCAATCATTGAAAGAACCGACTTTTTAACCATGGAAACATAGGAAAGTCTTAGAACACCACCAAGTAGAAGAAATAGAGATTAAAAAAAAACTTTTAATATCGTTATCATCCTATATAATGAAGAACACCTACAAGAAGATTCCCACAAACAACGATCAAGGATGTTAGCCGAAGTGTTACTATTTTGTAGGAAACACGGACTTAACTTTATGATGATTGGCAAAGGAAAACACTCTAAGGCTGAATTAAACTGGTACGGCAAGGACATTAAATATATGTTTTCATAAAAGTCAAGTGATTTTAAAATAATATGACTACTACATCCAAGAAACCTTAGTAAAACTTTCATTGAAGGATTTGCATTATTCACATTTAAGGGAAACACAAAACCATCTGAACAACATTAGGCCTTTTAATTCTGCATTTTTTCAGGTAAATATAACTTACGTTACGTTATAACAGTAACTAGCCAAATTAATGCCAATTGAAGCGAATACAATTGTGATAGAGAGGTTATGCGGAAAATCAGGCAGTTCTTAAGTAATGTTACAAAAAAAAATGTTATCGCTATAAAAAATGACTGAAATTTGTAAACGTACTGGCGACAATAGGTAGTACCATGCAGACTACATTATAATTGACAAAAATCAACATGGTTATGATTAGGAGGTTCATTATTCAAGCATGCCAGATACAGTGGTTACCAAAATCATCTACTTCTACCTCAAATATTTTATCCAACTGGGACGGTGGCGTCTTCCTGTAATCCAACTACTAGGAGGTCACAAATTGTGTATATTTATAGGCATGCACTGTGGATCAGATGCTCCCTGGTGTTGATTAACATCCGCACTAGTGAGTACTATGACTATTCGATTCGATTCGCAGTACTATCCTGATAATTAGACCAATTCGTAAATTACAAGGAAAAATGTGGTTCGGATTCCACTATAAACTGTAGGTCCCTTAGTTGCCATTGACTGTATATGCTATTAATTAACAGCTGTGTCTAAGGAACATGTCTGCCTTAGTCACTAACGAGACTAAAAGATCGCAGCACTCATCCTTCACTAATATTTAGGTTAAAATATGCACATAGTGGCGTCCCCATATTAAATAATTAAATGATAATTGATCAAGATATTGAATTTCTATCATTCATTTACAAAGTGCGTCCCAACCTAAAATCAAATCAAAACCAACTTTGATCAGTTATTTTATTTTTACACCGAGATTCTTTTACAATTCCAATTTTATTCCATCCGATACATACATAACATATTTCAACATTCCATTAATTTGAGTTTTAAACATTTTCCGTCTCCTTCACTTATTCTTATTTGACCTTATTTGATACTTTTTGGCCTGGATCAGTTTGATTGTATGTTACCCGACACAGTTGTAGTCAGCTGGGATGTTTGTTCTCGTAGAAAGCTATGATCTCTTCATCAATGTCGTAAACACCAGTCAGTGGAATAGAGACTAATTTACCAGTTTGAAGACCGAGCTCAGCTGAGTGAAGAGACAAAGGTTCTGAACGCACCAACCTTGGTTCCTTGCAATCCAACCGTTCTTTTTCCGAAGTTATTCTGTGGTGGATACATAAATATTATAAATATTTAGGTTAGTACAAGTTAAGGCTAGAGTTTAATTCTAAATGATTTTGAGGATTATGAAATTCAGATTTTTATGTGAAGCATGATTATTGTCAGGGCCTGATTACCCGTTAGGGTAATTAGGCTGGAGCCTAGGGCGCCAGTCAGCCAAGTGTTTTAGGGGGACACCAGACAGCTAAGACTTAAAGCTGGGACCGGGGGCGTAAAGGCCCCATCTAAAGGCCCTAATAAAATTGTTTTAGGCCTAGGTAAGGTGTTTTAGGCCTTACAGAGTTAATTTAGAAAGTACGTATATTATTGTTTGGTTTTTTGATATTTTAGGTTAGGTCTACTTTTGATTTAATACAATCATATGTTTAATGAAATGTAAAATAAATACATTATTTCAAATCAAAAAGTTTTACATTCCTTGAACAACCGATTTGTTACTATTTTAAACCTCGTTCGCAATAGTGCATCACAACACGGACGGGCGGCCGTCATGGCGTTTGTTTAACATTGAACATAAGGTGAAAAATTGCAGGTTGTCCGTTGCCGGCGTCCCTGGGACGGCCAGCATTTTCCACCCTATGTTCAAGGTTAAAAAAATTCTGTGACGGCCGCCCGTCCATGCCGTGCCACCCTAGTACGAACGAAGCTTTATAAGGTCGTACTATGAACTTATTTTAAACAAAGTCTGTACTATCTGTATCTATACTCAACCAGAATTAATAGTGCCTATGACTATGACATATTGTGTAGCTCTTAAATTTAAAATATTATCTCAAAGTCAAAATTTGCAGTTTTAAAAGTTCCTATTCAAACCATGCATTAATTTATGATCAGTTTTCTTTTGTTTTTAAATCAAATGAATAGTAGTATAATGCCTTTGGTCATTTTTAATTTTTGAAATTTTGAAAGTGGTGGCAGAGAGGGCTAGTGGTAGAGAGGGTGGGGGGCGCGAAACAACGTCAGCCTACTGGCGATTAGACCCTTAATCAGGCCCTGATTATTGTATTGTGTTGAGGCATTGCTACTTTGATTCAAGTAAGACGAAGAACTATTTTCTGTCAAACACACATTACAAAATCATCCTGAGTCAGGTAATTTTTAATTGTTTATTCACGCCATATAAATTAAATTGAATTAATTAATGGAAGTAACAAACAAATACCAAGTTCAGAAATTACGGTGGAGATACCACATAGTCCCTAGCTAGTCCTCCAGAAATATATTTTTATTCCATTTTAATCCTAATTTAAACACTCTAAACCGAAGATCTAAGCTGTAGCAATTTCAAATTTAAACCGCTTGCCCAATCAGCCCCACCAATCAAACTGAAACAAATAAGAGAATGAGTAAATTTTTTAGGAGCCGTGAGCAGATTTTTCCCAAGGAGTAATATGATATGACCAACGATGCTTTGTTAACTTGGTGGAAAGACACAAAATTAATGAATTGATTAGTATTAATTCACTTGCTAGTTGCTACAAAATACTAACATAACTCTCAAAAAATTATGCAGCATCATAAGGCCTTTTGTGTTCCTCGTGTTCGGACTACTTGGCCAAGTTTTTTATTGTAAATATTTTAATGTTTCGTATGTGTTTCCTGTTATGTGTCCTAAATGTGCTGACGACTCCATCCACAGATGAGAAAGCCGTACTTTAACATTCATACAACCTGAAGATGTACTCGCTTAGCAGTATGAAACGGCCGTAGTTATTTCATAACTTAAGGATCAATTGACGCAACAGGTAAATTAAACCTTTTATATTTGCATTTTCTTGATGCAGAGGCTAACCCATCATGAAATATAATCTTTTCCTATCTTAAATCTATAAGAACGATGGTTAATAAATAATGAAATTAACAAAGAGTACTACCTGGAATCAGAAAGCAAGGTAGATGTGGAAAAGGCACTGTTATCCAGAATACTACTCAGGCCTGACTCGTTCAACAATAACGAAAAGTCACTTCTTGCATGACCGGATATTTTGTTGGCAAACACATCTTCTTTGTTGAACAGATATGTTTGATCAATATCAATTTGATTCTTCATCGAACAGTTCTTGGATAAACCACTGATATCATTTCTGCATACTTTGGCATCACCAAAACCGCCTAGCTGATCAAAGAAATCTTCAAACGGAACCTTTCCCTTTTTCCAGTTGGTGAATTCTACCAAGTATTTACGTTTCAACCTCTGCAAGTTTCTCTTGGCGTGCTTAAGTCTAGATTTCAACAGCTGAAAGATTTACCAACATTGAGAAAACATAGTTAATTTTATATATCAAGTAGAAGAGAAAAAGTACTATTTTAATAAATTGTATATAAAACTAAAACATTTTTTCCATGGATAACTCTTAGGAGACTAGGTTTTGTATTCGTATACCTAACATATTTCATTTTCTAATTGAACAAAGGTAATTCATTTCACAAAGAGAATAACTGATTAGCTCCAGTTTACAGATTTTTGACTTTGAGCCAAGTAAATTTAAGTTATTATATAACTGGTTTTGATAGAAATTAAAGTTGTAGGACATACAATCCCTCTCAAAAGTATAAACTCTCAGGGCTCATTCAAGTGATGGGATCAGTTATTACAACGATATTTTAAGGGCTAACTCTGGTAATAATAGTTCTGATTGGTTACCTACTTGAAAGTCCTTGAGCAGTTCGGAGTGTCTGCCCATCAGTTGGTCGATGGATATGTCAGTTGCTGAAGCGTCGTCTGCAACAGTTTTTACCTCAGTCCCGGGTATGTTTATGACTCGACCACTCATCATCTCACGAACCAAACTCTTCTCGTCTTGTTTCCACCAATCCACTAAAGTAAATGACTTATTAAAATAAAATTAAACCAAAATTTGATGCCAGTTAGTTTATTTAGAGAGAGAAACTAAACCTAAAATAATGGATTTCCGTTGCAATTAGACACAAACTTAAACTAAAGGAAAATTGCGGACATTTTCCATCAGACATTTGTACATTACAGGCCAGATGTTTTTGGATCTAGAGCCAAACCTTGAAACATAAACTTGACAATGCCGGGAAACACAGCAGCTAAGAACAAAAAATGTTTAGAGCAGGCAAACTTTGACTTTTTTTAACTCAAAAACTATAAAAACAAATCAAATTAAAACTTATTCAAGGCTCACCAACAACACATCAACAACTAATTTGGTTTGCTTTTCTGGAGGGTCATTAGGTTACATGTGAGAAAGTATATCACTCACACATTTCCTGGTGTACAGCATCAATAATGTTGATTTGACTTGCGAGAGCATCCGAGGCAGTTTTCTCTGACTCTCTCGCTTTGCTCCAATCTTCTCTGGCGTTTGTAGCAGCGGCAAACTCATCAAACCCTTCATCAGGTTCCGCTGGATCAAAAAAAAAATGGTTACAATTTTTTCTTCAGACTCGTTTTTTAGCGAATTTCCCTATAGGGAAGTAGCTATTACCGTAGGTCTCATGGTAAGACTTAGGCCCGGGACCGATTTACTTTTTCATTTTGATGTCCCCAGAGGCCAAAAACACCATTCGTTCAAATTTTTATATATGTATATATATATAGATATATATATAGATTTATATATATATATATGTGTCCGTGAACACGATAACTTGAGTAATTTTTATCCGATTTCGATGAAATTTGGTTTGAAGGTGTAAGGCGGGATAAACTTGAATGAGTTCGCGATCCAGCATGATCAGACCATGGGAACAGGGTTTTATGGGGTAAAAATTGGGTTTTCTCACTTTTGACTCTCAAAACACAAAATTTCCCAATTTTTCTCTAAACTTTCTTAAAGAGCTTAAAAAAACAAACAATTCAGTATATCAAAGTGTTTTTGTACGGTTATTGGTTACGGAGAAAACTAAAAAAATGGTAAATTTAAAATTCCCATGTTATTCTTATGGAGAATATTGTAAAATGTTGTAGTTTGCTTGTTTATGGATATATTTTGATCAAACTTGGCAAATTTATTTATTTAATAGTAAGCTATCAATATTTTACTAAAAACACACTTTATTAGTTTCCTTGTAGCAGCAAACCTAGGTACTCGTTAAACCTAATGTTATTTAAATAGATCAATTGAAAATCAATTCAGCCAAATGGAAATTCGCTTAGACGGCAGGTTTGCTGCGGCGGGGGTATTAATGTATTAGGTTAGACAGATCCATTCCTAAGTTACCCACCATGGGTTGTACTGATCCATGGAAGTACAAGTACACTAGGTATGTGTTGGGTTTAGATTTGCAAGAACAAACACTATAAATCTAAACAAAACAAATAAAATTGCATGTTTACGCATGTATTGAATCAAATAGTTCTCTTTAGTCTTTACAAGGACGATTCAATTGGCTGAATTGATGTCATCTGGTGAGTCCATTAACACAGACTTCCGGCCCAAAAACAGTGATGTCGTGGGTTTTATTCTGGTACCTACCCCTTGCTTTGCTGGGTATGTTTCACGCACACACGCACATGTCTCTGTGACCCATGTGAATGAGCAAGTAAAAGGTAAAAAAGGCAACCAACCTCTTTAAAATAAAAAAAATCCTGTTCATATTAATGTTTTCCGCATGTATAGAATGAAATAAAGTACATTTTCTGCAAAATACTTAGTACTGTAGCTCTTCAAGTAAAAATGCCGCCGGCGTAGACATCAAGAAAAAAAATACCTAAACAGAGAACGTTGTATCCAGAAGAACTAGAGTCACTGACAGAACGGAGATTTGGATGTTTACCCTTCATCTCTTGAAGCCAGTCTATCAAATAAACTGTTAAGTGTTCAAGGAATACAATCTTAAAATACTTTGATTTTTATCACAAGCTAAAAATTTGAAAACACACATAAACTCTGTTTACAAACCATAATTCAAAGGCTGCTACAAATTTAAAACAACAGCTTGGGTAATTTACCACAGTTGACAGCGTGAAGTGTTAATTCAAAAGCAGAGCCCTGAGGAATACAGTGAATAAAGTGTCGATTTTCAAAGCCCGGCCATTGGAAACATCGGTTAACCGAATGGCCAATCGCCGGTGATGCCGTGATCATAAGGCCAGGGGGGGGACAGGTGACTTTGAGTTTAGCAACATTTGCCCGACCAAAATGTTCAGCATTGTGTTAAATTGGAGTGCACACACCAAGGAAGCAATCGAGGGACAGTTGCGCAACTGTTGCAATCGTTGTTCCCAGACCAAATTTGCCAGAGACAGCTCTGCGACTCAATTGTCGCGGGACTGTCGCTCCAGGCTTGGTATCCATTGAATTGAAACAAGTCTAGACGCGCACACATACGACTATAATGTCGCTGTTTCGCTCAGTATCAGTCGGCTACTCATGGGAAATAGCACTTGCGTTTGCTCTCTTAACTTTAAATGTAGTGTAAAGTTTGTCTGGAAAAAGTGAATTTTTAAGTATGAGTTTGCGTGTTGAGGACGTTAAATAATTAATTTATGAAGTCATTAAAACCGTGAACGTTTTAAAGTCATTGTAAGACTATTCTGATATAAATTTGAAGAAGACATTGTGGGGGGAGATATTTATGAAGGATCAGTAGTTACAAAAGATTTGAACCCTCTAATCCTCTTCTTCTTTCACGCGCTAAACTTCAAAAACAGAGTAGGGCCTACAAACTATTGTTGTATCATTTAAATCCATACTGTAATGTCCAATTTGCGTCTTGAACAGTCGCCTGTGTGCGTACTCCTGCGCAACTGTCACAAAACTTCAGTCTCCGAGTGAGTTGCGCAACAGTTCCCCTATTAATTGGGCAACTGTTGCTAGACTCAAAATTGCCTGGTCTAAGACAATCTACGATGACGCTGAGACTGCAAGATATGCTCTCTGTACAAGTAAAAAATCAAAGTAATCATGTGAAAATTAATTTAAATGTCATCAATAAATGTTCAAATAATGCTTTTAATTTTTACTGTTAATGACTGAATGTCCGAAAAAATCAGTCCTAACCAATCTCCAATTGTTGCATATAGAACATTAAAACTTGAAAAACAAAAATTTTAAACAGTAGGTATATTGGATTAAAACATCTACAACAAGCCAGCAAAGCTGGATAAATAAAGCAGAAATGGAATTTAACCATTATGTTAAGGATACTAATATCGGTTTTTAATTGTGTGGAGTACAAATGTTTGTTTTCTGTGTACTGGTATTCTCTTTTCCCACAATCTTCTGGAAACAATTTATTTTCTCGTTGTTCTAATTCTTTAACCTGGAAACAAAAATATCAATTTTTCTCTACACGATAGATTGTTATTAATAGCCAATTATGACAAAGGTATTGATGGGATTGTATGAAAGAAGAAAACATACTTGTTTAACTTCCAGATGCTAAAATAAAGGGTAAATAGCTTTACATAACTTGGAACTTGGACTAACTTTAGATGCACAATTGGATTCAATTTTTAACTGTGAGAAAAGCCAGTGACTTTTCTCAGGCGTAAACCAGCAACTTTTTGATTACTTACTACTACTTATTCGCCCAGCTAACTGGTAAAAAATATTGAAATCTTTAAACTCAGTGATTAAACGGTTATTGGCTGAATCTAAAGTATACGTTTAGGAAAGATAAGATGAAACTCATTTAACCTTGTTTCTAAGTAGAGCGCACTGTCCTCGCAGCTGATGTATTTCTAGTCTCAGCTGATTATTTTCTCCACTCAAGTCCTTTTCAGAGTTCAACATCAGCTCATTGGGCACCAGCGACACTCTTTGAGCAAATCTGCATGTTGATATTGTCTCCTGGAAGTTAATATCAAAATCGATTTAAAATTTGCTTAATCATATTTTCATTTTCTTTATATTTAGAAATGTAGTTAAACATTATCATTATCCTGCAGTCTGTTTGTGAGAACTTATTCTTCCTACAATCTCTAACAGTAAAGGTGAAATAAATACCCTAGCATAATTTTTGTACTCGCATTGACTAAATTTAAATTATAGACCAATTATTTTGTTTGGCTTGAAAAGCAATTGGTTTATGTATATGGATATATAGTTATTATGGGTGGTCTTCATTTTTATTCTAGCTAACAGGTAGGATAAGGTATGGACCGAGCTGGTCTAGTGTTAGAGAGCGGGACTTTGGTCCCTAAGATCCTGGGTTCGAGCACCTTGAATCACAAATAAATTTTATCTAAGTGATAAAACCACAACTACTAGACCTAGCCTAAAGTGAAAAACAATCCTGAGCTAGAGCCTGGTTAAAAAATTAGGTATGATAGATCAATTAACTTACATTTACAACCCTGTAGTCAGTGAACTCGTACTATAGTGATCGCAATTTGAGAAAACGTTATATGACACAAAGATATTTTTTTTTGTCCCCCAAAAAAGACTAATTTCTAAAACTCCCAATGAGTTTATAATTCCTCTACACGATAGATCAAACCCAAACTCACCTCAATATTATCTTTATCGATTGCTATGTTGGCGACCATGACAGTCATACAGTTGCCGCCTAAAGAGTCCCGCAAAGCTGAAGTCAGGGTACAGTTGCGGTAAGGAACATGGCTGCGGCCGGGGTCTGACAAAGCAACTATCACCTGATCAACAACATTATCTCAAAGTTCAAAAATGGCATTTACTTTCATTAAAAATGGAACATGTGATGGACATAGTCAACTTAATCAATCAATAAACTACTAATCAATAAAGATCAAAATAGAGAAATCAGGAAGAGAATACAGATGATGGATGATGGAATGTCTAGTTGTATTACTAATTAAAGACTCTACGCACAGGCCTGAGGCCAACCTCTTTAAAAATACCTCAAAAGTATTGTTATGTTTTAATTACCTGTTCCAAGTAATGCAGAGAGAGGTTGATATGTCTGGCCTCCTCCAAGATTATACCCTCTTCTCCGGTTTTGTGCACTCGTTCAGAACTGTTCAAGAAAAATAACTTTTATTTTTTATTCTTGTTGGTTTTTTAGTCCATTCTTTAAATACTAGAACACAAGGCTCTCTCTCTCAACAAAGAATGACTAGTAAGAAATATAGCAGTATGAACAATCTAAAACTAATGACTTTTCTCAGGGTCAAACCAGCAATTTTTGATCCTCTGAAGCACTGTAGGCCTACACAATGCAGTCCAAAAGACTAACCACAAGTAAATGTGATAATTTCCAAAACAAAATTGTACGTCTGTTTTACTTAATTGTTCAGTTTAAAATATCATTTATCAATTATGAGTTCAGTATAAATGTAAACATACCCTGCTAAGTCTACAAGGTTAAGTTTTGCTCGTCTGATCTCTAGACTGTCGTGAACGTGAGCCGTCAAGTGGATGGTGAGGATGGTGTGTGATCGTGAGGAATACACATTCATTGGAGTGTCGCCTACAATCCTGGATAAGAATATAAAATCAATTAGACACGACTCAATTGAGCATTCTGGTAACTCGGTGAGAGCAAAATACCCACTGTATCTGTAAGCAGAATGATAAGGTGTTAGTATTTTTTTTTTGTCCTAGGATGCTAGGCACGAGTTTGGTTGTGTTTTTCACATTACTTCAGGCTAGACCTAGGGGTTGCGGTATTATCACTTAGGTAAAATCCATTGGTGATTTGGCAGGATATATTAACTTTCTGTTACAGTAGACTCCCTCTTATCCGGACTTCTCGGGACCGAGGCCAGTCCGGATAACAGGTTTTCTGGTTAAACCGATGTCTCCAAAAACTCGTTTTAACGGACCATTTAAATGCATACTGTATACAGTATTTGACTTAAATTTAGGAGAGCATCATATTTAGATACATGATCACTGGTCTCAAATCTTTCCCACGAGAACAGTTGTTTCAGTACCGCCCACTTCCTGCCGATCTAGTACGGTTAAATCAATGTGATGATAAAAATTGTTCGGTTAAAGAGATGTCATTTTTGCCGAGTGTAGTCCGGTTAAACTGATGTCCAGTTAAAAGGTGTCCGGATAAGAGGGAGTCTACTGTATGTCTTAGTCCCTCAGATTACGGGGTACAAAAGTTGTAATAAAACTAAAAAAAAAATAATACAATTTTTTATTTTCTAAAATATATCAGTACCGGTAGAGAAGATACTAATGCAAGACTTTGAAGGACTGGAGATCTGTCATCAAGTTTAGCTTCAGTCTCATCATTGGCGACATTGATCATGCATTCAAAGCCATCCACAACATACACAGTGGTAACAAAACTAGCTTGAAGCAAAACAATGTCACTAGGTCGGGAGTTTTAGCTACAAGCATGGTCATGTATTCCATAATTAATATGTTATACTTTCAGTTTTTACTATACAATATTTCTATTTTTGTTTGACTGAACATTTAAAAAATAAACTCTCAGAGTAGTTTTATCGTTTAAAAAACCTTTTAACATCATGGGTCCTGCACATGGACAAGCGACTGAGGTAGTTCAGCGATCCTTCGCTAGGTTGCATTAGCATCACACAATCTTAACAAACACGTAGGACATAGATATTCCATGAGCTAAAACGATTTTGCATAATCATGGATGCCAGCTTATTGTAAACTAGCAGAGAAACCTGGTGTTGCTTGGGTCTAAATACTATGCACAATAAAAACACATTTTAAAGGAACTATGTATCAACGTTTATTTTCATTAAACATGTTTAGAGTCCCTTCATATTAGCTGGAGTGTTGGTGTAGGTCTCACGTTCACAGACTGAGCAGGTTTGGATTTTCCTTGTTTGTATCTCTCTTTCCATGTCGTGCAATTGTCGTCATTACAAATCTTGCAAAATTCATTGTCCGTCTTCTTGGTTTAATTTATCTTGACAAATTATGGTTTTTTTCAATGGTTGGATTCAAGTCCTTGATCAAGATGTCAATCCTCCTTTGTCCTGTCAATCCTCCATTTGTGATCTGTTTCAATCGTTGTTCAGCAGCCTCTTGTTTCTTATATTCAGCTTTTTCTCGATCCTCTACAGTTCCAAGTAATGACTCCATATATCATCTAGCGGCTCACCAATTTTATGCTCATTTTACAGGTAGCTTTAAGGCGTGGCTTGTTAAATAGTCTGCAGGTTTGCTGCGGCGGGGGTATTTACCCTTACTGGGTATTTCTTTCGGTTCTTCTTGTTTTACGTTGCCATACCCCCGCACTTGTCCCTGCTCTTTTACCCCCCGGCTGCTTGAGGGGGAGGGTGGCCGTGAAACGCTACTGCCCCACCTAACACAGGAGGAGCAGCAGCAGGAGGAGGAGGAGGTCCCAAGACTTGGTCCAACAGCCAACTAACTGCCAACCCAACACCTACACCTACCGCAATAGAAAGTACATGAGTCATTGTAATTACTTACGTATGGAAAAGAGAATAGAATTAGTAAAAGAAATTAGCTTGTGTTGGCAATTCTCACTGAAATAATGAAAATGAGCCGTCTCTATGGATACTTAATTTATTGTTATAGTTTGGCTAGAGGATAAATGATAATATTTAATAATCTCACTTTTTTCATGATTAATAATAATTTCCTACTCAAACTGGCATTTAATAGCTCAAAAACATTATTGCTAGCCTTTAATCTTCAAGTCTCTGGTTTGATTCCAAGTGAGATCTTTACCAGACCCAGATGCCATTTATCTATGCTAACATATATTTAATTTATTTTAGGAGCAAAACTCTATTGCGTACAGCTTATTTTTGTGATATTCTCCTCGGATTAATTAAAATAGTGTTGTACAAGAACACAATCACTCCTTTTTTTCTAAATGTAAAAAGGATGATTCAGAAAATACTATAAAGTTCTTCTGTTACATTTTGACAACTGTTCGATATCAGATATCACAATTCTTCTCTCAATTTCCAAAGTTGTTCTAATAAAAAAATCAAACACTAAGATTGCTACATGGCACATTTGTCCAAAGTATACATAACTGTTTAATAGAGTTGGACGAGACTGGATTTTAAGTTTGAGATGAAATTCTATTTTCTCATCATAAATCGAGACGAGATCGAGACAAGATTATCAATTAATCAATTTGTTTTCATTTTAAAAATAGTTGTTTAGCCTCCGGATTACTGTATTATACTTAAAATGGTTTACAATACCTGCATATAGTAATCCTTTGTTGCTGATTTAGGCAACTAGTTTCGGTTCTTGTTTTGAACCATCTTCAGGCCTCAAGGTGTCAAGTGATCACTTCACTCTGTTAACGACCTTCGGATGAAGTGATCACTTGACACCTTGAGGCCTGAAGATGGTTCAAAACAAGAACCGAAACTAGTTGCCTAAATCAGCAACAAAGGATTACTATATGCAGGTATTGTAAACCATTTTAAGTCAATTTGTTTATTGAACAAAAATTGGATACATGCATGTTATAGATCTGTATGGATCTTATTACTATCGGGAATTATTCAATGCAAAGTTTTAAAATGGTTAATAAATAACAATAAAACTATAATAAAACAAAAACTAAAGTGCAACTAATAATTTATTACAAAGGTCGATACGAAAAGAGTGTACAAAATAACAAAAGCTTACAGGAACTTAAATAGTTATGAAAATCTTAAAAAATAAAATGAAAACAAGACATATTTGATTTTAAAACTGCAACATGCACTATCTCACAACAGTCACAGTCTATGAGACGACAGAATTGTAGTACAGCACTAAAATTATCCAATATCCGATATCCGGCATTCATTTATCCGCGATTCTGGTTCATCCACAAAGGTAACTGCTTTAATCTAAATAATAAAGACTTGTATAGGCTAAAAGGCTAAATCAACTACATTTAAAGCCAAAGAGAACTACTGTATGAGATGGTGTATTGTAGTAAATATCCGATTATTACTTGGTATTTGAGAAACAATTTAAACAACTTTTGTGCAAACCATTAATATACTCCCGCCACAGCAAACCTGCAGACTAAGCGAATTTCCATATGCCTGATTGGATTTTCAATTAAATCTATTAAATAACATTAGGTTTAACAAGTACCTAGGTTTGTTGCCACAGGGAGGGTAATGAAGTGGGGGTTTCATTTAAAAATATCAATATCTTAGTATAAAATAAATCAATTTGCCAAGTCTGATCAAAGTAAATCCATAAACAAGCAAACTATAACAGTTTACTTATTCTCCATAAAATTGAATAACATGGGAGTTTTAAAATTAAGATTTTTTTATTATTTCCGTAACCAAGAACTGTACAAAAACACTATATACAGCACTAAATTATTTGTTTTCAAGCTCTTTAAAATGATCTAGAGCAGTTGGGAAGTTTTATGTTTTGGGGGTTCGCAAACTCATTCAAATCAAATCAAATCAAAATACTTTTATTCCAAAAACTACACGGTACAATAATAGAACAATACATTACATGGAATTATTCCCCCGGATAGACTGTTGATCTGTGATCGGGGGAAGAGTTCTTGTAAACCATTGTTAGGCAATATACAAAGTATTTAAAATTTGTTCGATGCTATTACCTATATCTACTAGAAATTAAAAAAGACAAAGACCTTTATAAATTGAATATTAGAAAGGAAACCCCTAATTTGATTTAAACAAATACTAAAGTCTATAGTAATACATAAAAAAAAATAATAAAATGGATCCTAATAAACTATAAATTACTGAAAACGGTAACAAAAACATGGTTGAATTCTGCATCAGCCGTGGCAAAAACATCTTTTTCAGTTAATGGAAAATAATTATACTGTGTAAACGGACTGTATCAGCGCCTCTGCAGCCGCCCACCCGATACGCCCGAGCCACTCGCCAATCCTGCGTTTGTTCACAGCAACACTACTACCCTCCGCCTCAATAATGTCTGATGGAAGGTACGGTATAAAACATGTGCTAGATAGAAAGCGTTCTTGTTAGTGGAATTGAGGAATGATCTAGGTAAACAAAAGCCAAAATTTATCCGGTTTCTAGTGGGATAACAATGTGATATTTCTGTAAATATTTGTTGCTTGTTTGACTTTATAAACAGTAATAGTGATTTAATGAATAGTTGCCTAATATTCAATACTGGAAATTCAATAAAGAGTTGATCTGTTGGATATCAGAGTGGTTTTTTAAGAATTTTTTTTATTAGAGATTTCTGTGATACAAACAAAGGCTCCAGCACAGCGGATGAGACGCCACCCCAAGCCAAAATTCCGTACTGGAGCACCGACTGCACGTAGGCGTAGTACACCGTCCTGCAGTGATCCACCACCAACACCTGGCCCAGCTGAGCGAAAGCATATACCAACCTTCTAAGCCTCTGTTTCACAGACCAAAGGTGTGGAACCCAGCTTAATCTCTGATCCATGATAACGCCTAAGTACTTATATTGTGAAACACACGTTTGACAGTGTCACAGCAGCAGTCCCGTGACAGCGGATCACCACAAGTTCATTCAAGTTTATACTGCCCTACATCTTCAAACCAAATTTGATAAAAATCTAACAAAATATTCCTCAAGTTATCACATTCACGGACGTATTTATATACAGTAAATCTATATGTATAAATATTTATAAAAAAAAACAAAAAGAAAAACAGAAAAAATACTTTATATGTCTCCCATTACTTACTTACATTGGTTACTTTGATTGATAAACCAGAAAAACATTTGACAAGTCAAAATTCAAAATTAGTTACAACAAGAAATAACTCCTTTAGAATAAAACAAAAAATGCCGAACAATAATCGGCAACCAATGAACAAATATGAAAAATCAGGAATATACCCAATCAACTGCAAAGATTGCTCTAAATTTTATATTGGACAAAAAAGGAAGGTTAATTTCTTGCCACTTCAAAGCATATAATCAGTAAAAGTGTATTTAACAGTGTTTAGTCTTAAATTTGTTTGCACTGGAAGCCTTTTTCAGAACAATATAGGTACTTGAAAAATTTCCCACTGGCTAACCTCATACTTACTTCATCATAACATTCATACTTTTGTACTTCCTGGTTCCCCACACAATTTTTTGATCTGGGAAAATTTATCAGCCTTAGTAGTGTTTGATCTACAAAATAATCAAATTCAAACTCAAGCTCACCTATTTGTATCGCCAGTTGAAAGTAATTCTAGAGCTTCAGTATAAGTTTGGATCGGTGTCAAACTCAAATTGTGCCACTCCATAAGTTTGTCTCCGTTCTCTCGCAGAGCAATCTTCTTTTTCCTTGAAGATAAAAGAAACACTATAACTAATTCACCATAACCAAAGTCTTATTTCAAATCAGAAGTCTTTGATTATCATTGATCAATGGCTGTGTGAAACAATAGTAAACCCTAATTTATGGTAAGTATACCTAATTTATAGTACAGTAGAGTCCCGATGGCGGGATCGGGACCCGGGACGAAAATGAAAATGTTTAATAAAAACATGGCAAAATGTTTAAACACTATAGGCCTACAACAAGTCTATCTCGCCCGACCGCTAATACTTCGATGAGGTACAACTAACTGTCGTTACTACAGTTTCGGCTTTTCCCATATGGGTGGCACGTGGGTGGGTCATCACTTTTTGTGTCTACAATTAACTGCATTAATGCTGTCACACAACGCAGTTTTGACTTTTCCCGATAAGTAACAGCAAGTACTGGCTAAACAAAATAAAATTAAAATTAGTTTTTAAAAAAAATTTTAGTTTAGTTTTGGATTAAGCGGACTTTTGTATTACCAAAGTTTGGTTTATGGGGACTCCACTGTATTAGTCAATGCTAATAGTAAAAAAAAATTACACATAAAACAATCATAACTCTTCCAATACACATTAATCTCAGACAATTCAAACTACAATTTCAAATGATCAATATGTAGAGGTATGGTTTAATGGATAGGAGTTCTAATTATTATACACAATCAACTACACGTATATTTCATTAGCACAACCTTTACAATCTACTAACAATGGGTTTTTAAATATTACAGTTTTGTTAATCTGTCTTATGTAGTTCTTTGAGAACAATTATCCTGCGGTCAGGCTACGGAGTGTTTTTCTGTCATGATCACATTATGAGATCAAGATGGCACAAACGTCTGCCGAAACCTGATCGAAGGACAATAATCCTCAAAGAACAATAGGCTGAAAATTACATCAACACAACATTATTTAGTTCTTACCATTGCAGTGCCATAAAAACGTACAAGCTACTACATTTTCCATTTAACTAATAAGAACAAGATCAGATATGTCAAATAATTAGCAAATTAGGTCTACAGCTCTACTATTTATAGAGGAAAATTACTAGGTTTAATTTTGCAGTCATTATTCATGGCCAAAACTTACTCTTTGCCAGCCGACAGCAATAAATCGTTGCTCTGCTCGTTGTATATCTCCAGGTAGGACATTTGGACGTCGTATGTTTCACCTTCTGCCTAGAAAAAATTCAAAGGAGTTTTAAAAAGATGTGTTTCCTCTAAATTACTGATTTGTGTAACATTTATCTTTAATTACCGACTACTCACTTGTTCCACAGCTGAGAAGATGTCTTGCAGAGCTCTTGGAACAACGCCAGGGTTGTCCTTGGTACCTGATATTGTGTGGGTTTTCCCGCTTCCGGTCTGTAACATAAGAAACAACTTACCAAAGAAAGATCTTTTTTTTAATTCCCTTATGTTAAATTTATTACGGTAGTCAGCCTTCAGCTTAGTTTTGTTTTATTTTGCGAATAAGAATAAACCATTAAGTGAGAGTATTCATGTAATAAACTACCATTATTGACTTTTAGATACTAGAAAAGGGCATCTTATTTATTCTGTCGATGAGTTGTAGGAAGTAATGTCAATTTTTGAATTTTTGCATTGTTAATTCTAAGAATCCTTTGTTTTTCATTTTCCAATATACCGGGTGTCCAAAACCACCCGTACACCCCTTTAAAAACGAGGGAAACGTTTTCTTACAAACAAAAAATAATACAGAACTAGATAAATTGGTCACGGTCTACCAAATAGTGATAATTTCAAATCCAAAATCACACCGGAAGTGGCTTTTTCAGACCGGAAGTTGACTTTTTAAAATGTAAACTACCAATTTTGATCACAGAATCGGATTCTACGTTAAAAAATACATCCCTTTTGTCTAAAACATTTTTAGAAAAAAACTTGTTTTCTAACCTCAATCCCCTATTAAAGTCAATAATTTTGGGTCATTCATCTGTCAAAGACACTCCAAACAATAATAGAGAAAAACAAATAACTAAGATTACATAAATACATATGATGCATAGGATCAGCTGTTAATTGTAAACACCTTAGTAATTGAGTAACAGCTGGTCTACACATTGATTAAATTATTTTTTTTATCATTTGTTTTTACATTTGACCACTTTAATGTAAAAACAAATGATTAATTTTTAAAATAAAATGAAACCAAGCAATGTGTACACCAGTTGTTACTCAATTACCATAGTGTTTACAATAAACAGCTGATCCCATTCATCATATTTCTTTATGTAATCTTTGTTATTGATTTTCTCTATTATTGTTTCAAGTAACTTTGACAGATGAATGGACCAAAGTTATTGACTTTAATAGGGGATTAAGGGTAGAAAACAAATTTTCTCTAAAAATGTTTTAGACAAAAGTTATGTATTTTTCAACGTAGAATCCGATTCTGTGATCAAAATTGGTAGTTTACATTTTAAAAAGTCAACTTCCGGTCTGAAAAAGCCACTTCCGGTGTGATTTTGGATTTGAAATTATCACCATTTGGTAGACCGTGCCCAATCTATCTAGTTCTGTATTATTTTTTGTTTGTAAGAAAACGTTTCCCTCGTTTTTAAAGGGGTGTACGGGTGGTTTTGGACACCCGGTATGTATTTGACACTATTTATGTATGTATTGCATACTACTAACAAATAAAGATTATTTGAATTTGAATTTATCTATTTGATTGGAGCTAAATTTTTTAATTCAAATAGAACACTTGAAAATCTAATAGAGTGTGCTAAGTTTACTGGCAAAATTACATTCTTCTTTCATTGACACAAACTTGGCGGTTTCAACATATATCATGCAGTAGCTTTGAACAGCAAACTAAAACAAAGCTAAAACTCTGTTGGTCACTTAATCCAGCTAATTTCTAAAACTTGATACATCTTTAACATAACAATGAGATGTCTATTTTTATATTCTGCCAATAATCAAAGCTAACGTTAACAACGTATAATCAACACAGAAAACTCTAACTTCAGAATGTCCAAATTTAAAAGATGATAACTTCTCACTAACCATGGAACACCACAAAATTACATAAAACTAATTTAATTGATCAATTTTATATTTATAGGTAAAAGTATTTACCTGTCCGTAGGCGAAAATGGTTCCATTGTAACCCTTGAGGGAGCTAAAACATGCAAAAATATTTAATTAGACGGTTGTAGCAACAAAGAGACAGCGGAGCTCTCCTCGAAAAGAAGTTCTCGTAGAAAACAATAACGTCATTGAAGAAATATTGGATTATTTTATACAAAATAAGTGATCACTGCTTCAATGCTTTTCTTCAATCATGTTGCAAACAAAATAAAATTATCAAGGTAAGTTACCTGTGTTCAAGTATAATATTCCTTACTGAATTCCAACGTAAAAATGTGAATGTACACTGTTGAGCCACGTCATCGTGACCTGCACTGCCGTCTGGTGGCATTGGCGCAAGTACACTGGAAACTTCAGCTGCTGTGCTTTTCATATGTTGGGGTTTATAGTAGTATAAAAATTTACATTAGTGTTCAGTCTTGTTAAATGAGTGGCTATAGTTACATTTTGATGCCACAATAATTATGTGCCATGTTAACTATTTTCATACTAAAACAAAGAGCTGCTCCAAAGATACGTCTGAGAATGAACAAGTCATACTACAAAACTAGGTACTCCAATTGTTGTAAATTTGTACCAGCCTGTAATATACATGTTATACTTTTCTGCTAAATTTAAGAGGTTTTCAATATTTAGATAAAAGGCTGTGATTTTCAGTAAAGTATTTTTACTTGGGTTGGGTGGAGATAGAATTGCCAATACATATGTGTTATAGATCAAGAAGTTATTTATGTTGTTTATGATTTTGTTATATACGTCTTATATCCAAGTGTTGCGAAGTAATTATATCAGAAGGCCTAGAACCATGACGTCACCAATGGAGCTGAACGAGGAGACCGGCAGTTGAAGTAATGCAGCAGGTTAGTAAGCAAGCTTATGTGTCTTCTCTTGTCAGAGTCTAACTGCAATAATATGGAAATCATATTAACCCTAGAAAGGTATCATCATCCAGTATGACGCTAAGAATATCAATACGTAAATTTGACGTACTGATAGTTTATAGGAATTGTCATACAGTAAAGTATTGTCATACAGTATGCTAGGGGTATCAATACGTAAATTTGACGTACTGATAGTTTATAGGAATTGTCATACAGTAAAGTATTGTCATACAGTGTGCTAGGGGTATCAATACGTAAATTTGACGTACTGATAGTTTATAGGAATTGTCATACAGTAAAGTATTGTCATACAGTGTGCTAGGGGTATCAATACGTAAATTTGACGTACTGATAGTTTATAGGAATTGTCATACAGTAAAGTATTGTCATACAGTGTGCTAGGGGTATCAATACGTAAATTTGACGTACTGATAGTTTATAGGAATTGTCATACAGTAAAGTATTGTCATACAGTGTGCTAGGGGTATCAATACGTAAATTTGACGTACTGATAGTTTATAGGAATTGTCATACAGTAAAGTATTGTCATACAGTGTGCTAGGGGTATCAATACGTAAATTTGACGTACTGATAGTTTATAGGAATTGTCATACAGTAAAGTATTGTCATACAGTGTGCTAGGGGTATCAATACGTAAATTTGACGTACTGATAGTTTATAGGAATTGTCATACAGTAAAGTATTGTCATACAGTGTGCTAGGGGTATCAATACGTAAATTTGACGTACTGATAGTTTATAGGAATTGTCATACAGTAAAGTATTGTCATACAGTGTGCTAGGGGTAACGTCACATGGAAACTGACTGCTGAGAGCACTGCTGGAAGGTGGGTAGCATCCATCTACATGGATTGGGGAGTGGAACGTTAAAAATAACTCGCCCTACATACAATTTACGAGTGATACCCTCCTAGGGGTATTGAAATATTTTCAGTGTTATCAGGACCAACAGCATAGAGACATTTGAACACATTCAAACATTTTACCTCTCGACGACTGGTTTGGCGACTGCATCGTATATATGGACCTGTTGGGCTTCCTGGTCAAACACCTTCACAAACCTGCAATCACAAATCGTAAAAGAAAATGCTTGTTTTGGGTGTACAGTAAAATAATAAAAATAAATAAATAAAATAATAAAATAATACTGTGGGACAATATTAACTTGACAGCCCCGATCCAGCAGACTAAAACATTAGGAAAAATACCCCCGCCGCAGCAAACCTGCAGACTAAGCGAATTTCCATTTCCCTGAATGGATTTACACTAAAATGACTCCTTAAAAATATCACATTTATTCCCTATTTAAATAGAATCAGTTTAAAACATACTTAGGTTTGCTGCAACAGGGAGGGTAAAAGTGTTTTTTATGTAAAATGTTAACAGTTAGTAAGAAATAAAAACATTTTCCAAATTTGGGCAAAATATGTCTATAAACAAGCAAACTACAACAGTTTACTTATTCTCCATAAGAATAACATGGGAATTTTAAATTTACAACTTTTTGGAATTTTCTCCGTAACCATTAGGCGCATTATAACGCTTCAATATACTAAATTATTTGTTTTTTTAAGCTCTACAAATTAGTTTCGAAAGAAATTGCAAAATTTTATGTTTTTTGGGTCAAAAATGGGAAAAACCCATTTTTACCCCATAAAAGCCCCCATAAACCCCCGTTCCCATGGTCCGATCATGCTGGTTCGCGAACTCGTTCGAATAAACGTAGTTTTACACGTTTGTACCAAATTTCATCAAAATCGGATCAGTTTTGCTCGAGTTATCGCGCTAACGGACACATATATATATATATATATATATATATATATATATATATATATATGAATTTGAACGGATGGTGTTTTTGACCTCTAGGGACCTCAAAACGAAAAAAAAAATCGGTCCCGGGTCCAGGTCTTACCGTGAGTACTAGGGTAATAGCTTATTCCCTATATGGGAAATTCGCTAATAAGCTGGTTTTTCAATTCAACAATTTTAGCAGTTCTTTTCATAAGTGATAGTAATTAAAAATAATGGTTAATGCACAAAAACTTGAAGAAATCTATGTATACCTAGATTGGTTTGTAAAAACAGTTTTTTTTTATCCATTGGGGTTTATTTTGCTAACTTACATGTTTGACAGATTTTAACCAATAATTTATAGGTAGTTCAGAAAAGCTGCATGAAAAATGTTTAGTAGCCACAAAGGTGTCTGATAAAAAAGTGGTAAGCCATTTACAAGCAACACATGGAACATTAATAAGATAATATTCCAACAAACTTACGATTTATGTTGGGAATTAAAACTAGCCCACTCTCAGGAGCATTAGAAAATCATTTTATTGTGTCATCAAGAAGAAATTCTGGAATTAGGCAAGAAATCATCACTACCTATAGTAAAATCATTAAATTATATGTAAAAAGGCTGTTCACTTACTTTAATACTTACTGAAAACTGTAGGAATCACGCTTATGGTTCAGGAAATTATTGTTCTGGTATTTGTACAAGGTTAAGGTGTCACTATCAGAATCTTGATCAGAGTTTATTACATACTCCTGGAATTGGCAAACAAAAATCATTAAAACTCTTACAATTAAAGCTGGTAAGATCTAACTTACACTGTTGATATTATCCTTTCAACCATCCAAAATGTACCAGTACACACATCAAGACTAACCCAAAGCATTTACTTTTTGCATGGATATTTATTACTATTTTAAACGTAGCAGTAGGTTATCCCAGCCAACTGTAGTCACTATAGGGGTTTATATTTTCTTGTTACTGTCCAAAACGACCCTTTGTCGTTTTTCTTAAAACTAACCTGACTAAACTATATCTTTAATCTGTTTTGATTTTCTGTTTATATTTTGGTGTTATTTCGTCACTAACATAGCAACCCATAAGGCCCATGTTAATGTTTTTTTAAAATTTAAAATTCATTTTTGTGTTATGTTTTAGCCTATTTTAATTTATAAAGGGATTTTGCACATCTACAGAAAAATATCTTTCATTTGGTACCAACCGTGTGTAATTCGTTCCTCAGTAGTATGGTCAGGCTAACTGTCATAAGTTTTGCAAACTTTTTTAGTATATAAGATAACAAAACACAAAACATTTAATATTCTGGTCAATCAGATGGTAACAAAACACATGGTAACTTACAGCACCAGCTGAGGGTGAGTCGCATCTCGTCTGACCTTATGATGTGGGTCTATCCAAAGCACGAAGCAGCTGTATCTGTAGTCCTAGCAAACTATATATAAAAATCACTATAGTGGCCTATAAAAAAAACTATATATAGGCCTAGTTAATTCAGATCATTCAGAGGCCATGCCATTCCATCATGTAATTCTGTAGGTAGTAGTTTAAAGAAATCTGCAACGTGTGTAAGACAGTACCACCTCTTGACTAAGTTAGACAGTTAACTTAATTGCTTGATGAATTAAAGAACCAGCAACCTTTTAGTATTAATTTAGAGTCTTGTTCAAATCAGTACGCTACCGCTAGCCACCCAAAACCTGGTTTATTTAGTATTAATCATAATTTATTTATTTACCTCAAATTCAAATTCTTTATTAACTCGTAACATCTTTTGGAATACAATGTACGTACATAGGCCTAAATAGGAGTTTTGTCAATATTTATAAAGCTAATACTAAACGGTTATATTTGATAAAACTAATTAACTTACAATTATTAAAACTACAATAGCCTAATTTGAATAGGCCTACCTATTTGAACCTAAGACCTAGGCCTATTTGAATACACAGCATAACTTAAACCATTGGCTACACTTTACTTTACGTCCTAGGCTTACACTCATTCTAATGGAATTAACGATCAATATGTCGATTAGCCTATTCGATTGTTTCATTCGATATGCCTATTGACATTTTCATTCGGTTGAGTTCATTCAAATGAGTGTAGGACGTAAGGCTGATACAAAACTGTTGGTAGTAATTAAAGGAAGCCTCAACGACAAAAAAGTTATTTAAGCGAGTGGTAATATTGAACCTACTATTTATATTGATGTCAAATAACAGTTTAAAGAACGTTTTTAAGTGCGTTTTAGGTAAGTTCTAGAAACTGAACAGTAACCAATCATGACTTTTAATAATAAGTGATTGCATTTAGCCCAGAAATCCAAACACCCATCCACCAGCTGTAAATAAATAGGCCTAAAGCAATTTATTAAGTCTTGACTAACCTAACTTAGGCTATACCTAGGCCTACCTGAATTTCAGATAAAATGTTGGGTTTTATTCTGCAAAATATTAAAATTGGTGTCTTAGCCATCAAAACGGTTTGGCCAAAATAGATATTTATATTTAATCAAAATATTTAGTTGATAACAATTTACAAACAAAAATAAAATAATTAAGTAAAAATTAAAAATTGCAATTCAAACTAAATCAAATACATCTGATGTTGTTGATGCAGGCAGAAGGAGAAGAACAAGAAGAAGAAATCAGGAAAAAACAAATATTTATGGACCTCTTTACCAACATAAAAAACGTGTTGTTTATCTACAGATCCCTATTGTATACTGTATTAATTCATTAATCTAAGGTATGGTTTGAATTTAAAAATGAGTGCAGAATCAAGACAAACAATATTGCAGAAATTGTGGTGCGTTTCGGTTCAGAGGGGTAATGACTAATTGACCAAGTGCGGTGTCTGTCTAGATCAAGGTACTTCTTCCTTTTGATACATCTGCACCAAGGCCCCACTAGCTGCATCATGGCCCATAATAATGATTCATAATAATGTCATATTTTGTCACCTCGGTTTTTTGTGACAAATTGTCGAAGTGGTACCGGTACCATGAGGTTCAGATATTATGAGTATGATTAATCTATGGTTTTACTTGTAGTTTCTATTCAAAGCTCATGGGTCTTTTTGTATGAATCTTATATAGATTATAGAGACTGATTTAATACAGCATTATCATACTTTATTGATACATTGAATTTGAATACTGAGAACTTTTTAATAAATTCCAGTGTCTATAATCAACAGATGTAACTATCTTGTCATTTCGTAGTTTTTATTTGTCAGTGTTGGCCAACATGGCATAACTTAACCAAACAAACATAAAAATTGGAAAAAAACACAACAAAATTCAAAACGTGAAAACGTGCGAGCCAGCCAAGAGCCAAACTAATCTTGCTTAGGATTTAGATTTTAGGTTTAATATTACTTATTACAGTAATTAATTGTATTGATGGGTTCAGTTCGTTACAGTGTTTCTTAATTGTTCATCAAGTCCAACAACAAGACAGTGTTATCAATTTGAAATTGGGTAAGTGTTTTTACAAGATGATTGTTCCTGACTGTATTCTTAGGCCCAACCCCTACATGATTAAAGAATAGAGAAACTTGTCTGTGCTGGAAAGTTGTATAGGCCTACCACTTTTTAATTAAATGAGGTTGCCTGTTTCTCTCACTACCAAAATTTTATTCGGTTAAGTTTATTGCGATTCAACTTGTGAGTTCATCATGTCAATATGAATTATGTTTGTACAATTAGACCACTGTTGCCCATATGGCAAAATTATGTAGCTTATTCTTCCCATGGTCTCAATCAATGAATCAATCTAATCATCCTTTTACTGTTAGACCTTTTTTTCAATCCAATTAAGTTAGGCTAAACTTGGACCTTTCTTTGAGGATTGGTCTGAACATAACCCAAGTTTATCAGAGCTCTTTTCTACTTGACATTTGGTTTTACGATGGGAGATATATTTTAACCCTCCGAGTGTTATGTGTCGTAAAAGCGACTTATAACACATCCGCTGTAGTGTTATGTGTCGCTTTTGCGACTCACAAACACTGTTTACGGCGACGGCTCTGGGACTGACTGAATCGGATTGAACCGGATCGAGTTAGGTATCGTTTTTTTCAGCAGATTCAGAGCTTTCTCCTGATGTCTGTTTCTATACGCTTTTCATTTTACGTGCGTAACTTAGGCCTATTTGTAAACAGCTTCGTTAACCTCGCACCGATGACTGAATGTGTTTTACCTTTACCTTTACCTTCTTCTTCACCGCCACTCTCCTTAAAACAGGGGGTACGTCTTCTTCTTTGGGCAAGGCCCTAGGAAGTTTATTGTTGGTCAAAGTTTGACCTGGGTTCTTGTTTTGGTGTATGTGTGAGTCTATCTGTTTTTGTTGATGGTGTAAAATTCTTGTTTGGTGTAGCATGGATTTTGTGTGAGATGATTTGTTAGGGTTTGCTTGAATTTGGTTTTGTTAGGTTTTAGGGATTTGATGTTTTGGGGAAGGTGGTTATAGAATTTTGTGCCAGTATACAAGGGTTGGTCCTGTGCCTTCTTTAGTCTTTTGTAAGGGAGGTCTATATCTTCTTTCTTCCTTGTGTTGTGTTGATGAATTTCTGCTCTTGTCTTATTGTTCTCTTGTATGGAATATTGAATGGTGTCACAGATGTACATGGATAGAACTGTTAATATTTTGTCTTCTCTGAAGTGCTGTCGGCAGGGTGTGTTGTATGGAAGATCATTTATTATTCTTAAAGCTTTTTTTTGTAGTATTAAGATTGGTTCAATGTATGAATGTGTTTTATTACGTTTATCATTGTTTTAGTGTTAAAAATCATAAGTAGTGATATACGTGGTGCATTATAAGATTTAAGTGATTTTGAAGGGCTGGTTGATGATCCTGAAGAAGTAGGTAGTGATATTGATGTAAATTATCAGCCAGATTCCTAGCTATGGTTAGGCTATGCATTCTTAAACGCTACCTATGTACCGAAATCTGTTTTCTGCCCATAATTTAGGCTATTTATTTGGAAACCTACTTCCTTATTACTATATTTTTGGAATCCTTATAAAATTCTGAACAAAGTGGCTATTTTAAAATATTTGTAGACCTATAGGCCTGAATTATAACAATTTATTGAGTGCAAACATAAATTCTTTTCATTTATTTTATAATTTTTGAGAAATGTTAACCCCACAAAAATTGTTAAATATTTTTTTGTAATGTTTTATAGGTATGTTACATTGAAGTCCATCATTTTCCAAACAAAATGATAGCCTATATAAAACAGTATACTTTACCACTTACATTGTTTTTAAGTTTCTAAGATACATTTTAATAAAACCCTGCGATTGCGCAAAAAATGGGCGAACATTAACACCAAAACTAGAGACACTTGGAGGGTTAATCCATAGTTTCAGCTGATTTTACACAACCAAGTTAAGTCAATCTGTACCAAACTAACTTGGCCTAATTTGTTTTCTCTTTCGACTTTGGGGATAAGCCTTCTAATTTATTGATTTAAGTTAACTTGATGCCTAGGTATCTTACCGGTAGGTACCTATTTTTATATTTTTCTGCTGCGATTTCGTGGGTTCGTATGCCACTAATTTATCAGTGCTTTTCACTTAGGCCTACTTACTGGCTCACCCCTTGCTTCGTTGGCTACATTCCACACCCAGGTCTGTAGCCCACGTAGATGGGCAAATACAAGGTTGAGACCACCAACCTGTTTTTATTTCAACCAATTAGGAATCCACCAAATTTATTCCATCCAAACCGATCTTTTGTTTTTGTTGGGCCTCTCCGACTGAATAAGTAGCCTATTTTATTGTCTTATCTGAATTCCGGATGTGTTGCACACCAAACCTGACTGAGTCTTCGATCTTGCGATGATACATCAACAGGTTAGAGTGACAATGCCTAAATTAGTTAACCAACCAGCCATTGATCTTAATCTAAAACCACGGCAGGGGAAGAGGATCCTCCTATGAGTTTTATTTTTTCAAACATGTTTGCAACAACTATTTGGTACTTTTGTTCCTAGTATAAATTCAATGTTAAATGCTAAGTACCGTACTCAATGGTTTGTTGATACTGAACAATATTTATTTATTGTACCTGTAAGTCAGTGTTTCCCAACCAGTGTGCCGCGGCACACTGGTGTGCCGGTAGGCCTCTGTAGGTGTGCTGTGAAATTTTAACTAGTTAAAAAAATTTTGATCAAGAAAGAAACTTTTAATGAGCAAACCTTGAGCACAAATTTCCCACTAGAACTGAAACCAGGGTTTATTAAATATTTCTCACTCATTATTGGTAAATTCATACAAAATTGTTATCAAGCTCAATGTTTTATTATTATTTAAAACTTTCCACCTAATAAACACTAAATAATGTACACATGTTAGATAAAAAAATGTGAGTTTTATATTTTTTACCTTGGTAAATCCAACTTTATATTATATACCGGTACATATACTAGTAAAAAAAAAGAGGTTTTTATGCACTTCCTAAATGTAATTTTTACCAACGATATTTTGTAGACAAGTGTGCCGTGACTACAAACTTGTTCTAGTTAGTGTGCCCTGAACGGAAAAAGGTTGGGAAACACTGCGGTAAGTTAATCAACTGATATGTTTCAATTCGTTTTAATATCCATAGGCCTATATCAGATCAAAAAATAAAATATAGATCGATGTAGGCTATTGAAAAGAAATCATTGATAATCAATGACTGTTCCCTTTAACAGGAAAGTATACCCTTCTTATAATCTATTTTACTCTATGTTTTGCAGTGAGGTCCTGTTTTTATGATGGCTGATTTAGCTGAAATCGTTGGCGACATCAGAGCTTGTGTTATTTCCAGTAAAGGACCCCTTTCTCTGAAAACACTTTCTGGTTAGTATTTTTTAAACTAAATTTGTTTAAAGACTGTGCCCTAATTTTATGGACTTACCTATTTTAAACCAACATTTTAAATCTTGAGTGTAAATATAGGCCTGCAATTTTTTTTATTCAGTAAAGCCCAGCTCACTTGTCACCAGAAATTTCTTTAAGTAGGCCTACCGTACGGTACAAATAGAATGTAGGGATTATTTACCTCCCTGCGTTTTTGATGAGACTGCAGTCAATTATATGCCCATATCATATCGTCATGACAATGATCCGTTATCGCAGTCCTATCTAGATACGGTAATATTTCGCTACTGCAGCAAAAGTTGTAACATCTCCTGATATGGAGGGCAAATAAGAGCATGTCCCACTTCCTGGGTTGTGAATACATCCAAGCAAATAAAATAAAAATCAACTTATTTAAACAATTTTCAGTTTTCATACACTGTTAGAAATATAGAAAAGTCCTGTTATAGGCCATCAACATCGCCTGATAGCCTCTCTTGACACGAGGCTTCGCATTCCACCCCTCTCTGAGCACCCTTGTGCTGAATTTTGAAGTAGTTTATGTTGTAAAAAACTGACACAAAGGTATGATGTTTTAAGGAAATAATATATCAACAAACTAAACTCAGAACATAACTTTCCAGGTGACTATGAAAGCCTGGTCGGTAATCAGATTCCGTACAGACAGTTCAGCTACAGTTCCCTGGAGGAGTTTCTGAGAAGTCAACCATCGTTGAAGGTTTGCGGATCAGGCAGTTATGCGACGGTTGAAGCTGCCACTAGCAACCAGTCTAAACACATCTCTGAATTGGTCTCAAAACAGAAACCCAAAATAAAAAAAAAGGTAATCAATCAGTATTTGGTTTGAACATAATTTGTGATGTGGAATGCGAATAGGGACCTCTTGTCGGGAATTTTCGATTTTGGGTTATATGTATTTGAATTCCTTGTTAAATTCTGAATTACTTTTTGCAAGTCCCATGCATCTAAGAATTTTTATGTTAAAATTATAGGACTTTGAAATTTTGTTTTGGAAAAGGGCCATTTTGAGAAAAACCATTTTGAAAATTCCAAATACACATAATAACAGTTTTTTACGTATTTAAGAAACAATTTTGGTATGAAAAGAAACCTTATAATGTCCTCTTTGGACATTATATGCAAAGATGTGTCTTAACTCATTGTAGTTTTCATCAAAATAATTGTTTTATCAAAGCATGTTGTAAAAATCGCCCTTCAGAAAAAGGAACTCTTGTCGGCCCTATGTTATTTCTCCATAAAATAAGAAAAGGTACCTCTTGTCGTGACCGCAAAATTTCCACTAGAATGCAGAACAATTAATTTTTTGGACTAAAGTCTGTTTATAAAGTGAATATTAGAAATGGGGCCTCTTGTCGTTATGGCAAAATAACATTGAGCGACAAGAGGTCACTTTTCTCAGACCGTGCAGAGGCTAAGAAAAAGATTTATTTCAACCTTTTACATCTTCAATTCGGTATTTTAACCGATACTGTCCTGTTCTATGTTAATTGAGGTATAGCAATTGATAAAAAACCGAATTTCAATATTTTCAACCTTAATTACTTATACGGCAGTAGGCCTACTGAAAATTTTGCATCGCCCACAAGAGGTCCCTATTCGCTTTCAACATCACATTTATAAGGTAGGCCTACTATTTAAGTTATAATATGGTATATTATTTATAAGTTACTATATTTGGCTGTACTGCATTAAAAAGGATACGGATGATTTTAATCCTTGAGTTGTGTGGCTAACGTAGCCCTTTTTTTTAGGAAAAATACAAATCAGCTGGAATTAAGGAAATCAGTTGAACATTTTTATAACTAACTTTCAGTAAATTAATAACATTACCATGATGGTCAAGAAGTTAAATAAGGAGAAAAAAGTGCTTTGTTATTTTTTTTTTTTAACTCAAGTAAAATATTAGCGCTGTAAGAAGTTACTGTAGACCAGGTGTTTATAAATGAATATCGGGGGTTTAACGCTTTATAACTTGTAAATGCCTACTATTAAACTTACCGCTATAAATAATACATCGAATGAAAAAGCAAATTAAAGAGTTTATGCCTTCCAACAACAAATTATCTAACAAAATTGGTTCAGTAAAATTGTGATTTAATTGTACAAAGTTAAAAAGAAACCTCCAACTCTTTTCACCACTATGAATTGGGAGGTTGCTTAACGTTTTTTGCAAATAACTTTCAAATGGTATGGAAATAGATTTTGGTCGAAGGTGATATTTCGAAAGGAATCAAATTTCCTACAATTTACTATTCATGCATTTCTTGAATAAAGTCAGACAAAAATTGACTCAAAATAAAACAGAATTGAAAATCCCCGTTTTTAATGTTTACCTACTATGTTTATTTCTACAGTTGGCTAACTCTTATCCGGACACCTTTTAACTGGACATCGGTTCAACCGGACTACACTCGGTGGAATAAACATCTCTTTAACCAGACAATTTTTATGAGCACATCGGTTTAAGAGGACTAGACTCGCAGGAAGATTGCGGTACTTTTTTTTTGTCCTAGGACGCTAGGCACGAGCCTGGGATTGTTTTTCACATTACTTCAGCCTAGAACTAGGGGTTGCGGTATTATCACTTAGCATACTTGGGAATAGCGAATAGAAATTCTAACAAATTGCGCTATTCGTTCGTTTTTTTGGCTAACTTCTATTTTATTTGTTAGTTTTTAAAAAGAGCTGGAAATAACTTCTACTCAGTTAGTTTTTATAGTCAACGAATAGATAATATATTCGCTAGTTTCAAATCGTTAGCTTTTCTGGTCAGGCGAAAGTATTTCCAGTACGGGTTATTTATTTTACGTGTTCAGTGAGGGTTGCGTGTTGCATGCCTACGTGAGGGGTCAGCGCCCTTGGGGGGGTGGGGAAAGAGAAAGTCAAAGTCCAGTCGCTTTGGTATGCAGCGGTCCTGGAGGGCGAGCCAATGGCAGCCAATAAGGCCGGCCACACACGGAACCGGGCAGGGCAGGGCATGACGAGACACCTGACTTGCCCTGTCCTGCTGCTGTCACACACAGAACGAGGCAGGGCACGTCAAGTAAAAAGTTTAGCCCACGTAAACCAGAAAATTCATATAGGATTTTTTATTTCTGAGCCTTGAGCCGATTTAGCCAACTTTTTACTTGGGAGCAGAATAGAAAACAAAATTCAAAGTCATACCTCCAGAGGAGTGGTTTTTGAAACCCTTAATATGTATGTTGGCCCTCTCTTTCCTCAGTATCAATACCAAGATTTAAGTATTAGTTACTCAACCACTGTAGTAATAGCACTGTATAGTCGTATCAAATGTGTAATCTTTGGTCGTATAAATTGTTACAGTCATATATGTAAATTGTATCGGTTGTAAAATAATCCATACCAAAATTATCACGTAAGGTAATAAATTACATCAACGCACATGCGCAGAAAGTTCTGCCCGGCAGCAACTTGCCTCGGGGCATAATTTTGGAGACCTTCGCATTTGGCCCGGGGGCGTCTTTTTGACGTGCCCTGCCTCGCCCGGTCCTGTGTGTGGAGCTCCATAAGCGCCCGTGCAATTCCCGTCGCACAAGACGCCCCGGGGCAAAATGCCCTGTCGCATCCCGCCTTGCCCGGTTCTGTGTGTGGCCGGCCTAACAACAATTCAAGCACCGAAGGGTGGGAAGGAGGAATGTTTGTTTGGCGATTGATATGTACTGTAATCTCAAGTGTCAAAACAATGTCTTCACTTCAGTCGATGTCCAATATCTGGCCGTGACAGGTGTTAATTTTTTGTTAGTTTCTTAGTTGTCTTGTCGTCATATGTATATTAGTGATACAGTTAAATATTTTAAATGCATAAGTTATTAAGGTGAACAGTTTTAATTAAGTAGGAGTAGATTAATAATATTTGTTTGCAATGGCGGGCGAGTGTGATATCAAGTGACCAATCTTAAGTGACATATTTCAACAAATTGAAAAATGAAATGAAATGAATGAAATGAAATGAAAAAGTGCTTTTATTTACAAATAAGTGTACAACAATAACTTCTTAGCACTAAATACAACGATGGACAAAAAGCCCGTCTATTGCGGCTGGCGTACCTGGTTAGCACTTGTACAACAATTGACTAATGTAAACTGTTCTCATAAATCAGATTAAAATCAAATAATAACACAATTCATTTTTTGACAATACACATATTTCTAAAACGGATTCATTCATCTATGTATATTTCCATAAATTAAAAAAGAATGATAATGAAAATATAAGTAAACTTTCCTTTTTTAGAATCATAACAATAGCCTACATTCTAGCAATATTTTGCAATATTTGATCAAATTAATATACTGTATATAAATTTCAACGATTCTTGGTATATAAATAATACATTTCTATCTTACTAATGCAATTTTGATGCGTTAATGAAACTAAAAAATTATAATAAAAAAGATTTTAAAAGTAATGACATTTGGGAAAATGATTCTCACAGATTGAATTCTTGGATTAACCCCCATCTTTTAGACCAAGCATCTTTTAAATAATTACTTAAGGCCCGCCAATCCCACCCATTCAATATCTCTATATATTGTTCCTGTGTCAAAATTGGACAGCCAAAATAAAATTTCCTTATTGAATTTAAAATGGGACAATCAGAGATAAAATTAAAAGCATCTTCTTTCTCTTGTAAATTACAAAGAGTGCACAAATGATAAGTTCAAGTTGAGTCAGCCAAGTTGAAAAAAATGAAAAGGGTGGAAACGCGTTAAAATGTTTATTGTGTTTGTACCCAAAACAAAAAAATTAAAGCATTTGTCACAAGTGCTTCGAGGTTAGTTGGGGAAAAGTATGATGGTCTCTTTTTTTAACTTGAAGTGGAATAGGCCTATATATTTTTTAATGAATATAATTTTTATTTTTTAGTACAGTTATAGTGTATTTCTCAATGTGTTTACCATGCTCTTTTTAACTTTATCTCGCCACAAATAGGTCACTTTTAAATTTAGTAGTAAACTATACTTTTATCACACTGGAAAAACTACTTCATCAGACTTTAAAAAATTATCTGATATTTCGTAATCCATTAATTGCTGTCCATTAATTGTTGTACAATAAATTTTAGTGTAAAATTCAGCTAATTGAACATCAACAAACTGTGTTTTTACCTAGCCGGGACTTCAGTTAGTTAGTTACTTCAGTTGTAACTTATGTTTGTGTATCGAAAGTAATGTTTATGTCAGGAAAGGTGAGATGATCACTATTTGTTTTTGAACTACTGTATTGAAAACAGAGTGATGACAAGTTTTTGTATCACCTTTAAATATAAATAAATTATGTGCACTCGAGTTTGAGCCTAAATATATCTGAGATGAATTATTTGATTTTGTTGAAACAAAAATTAAATATAAGCTGGTTTAAATACATTTTACATGGTGTCAATTAAATAAATTTCCGATTTCCGATTACCGTACCAGAAAAATTTATATAGTTGAAAGATCCTAAAAAGTACCGGTTTTTAAGAAACTCCGCACTAACACTGAAGTTTAAATTTATTTGTAAACAAACCACTCTGCCAATTTTTATGGCTTATTGGTAGGTTCATTGTTAACATTTCCATGCATTTAAAAAAATGTATTCACAATAGTTTTTATGCTGCTGTTAATTTTTAAAACGTATGCTAACATCGTTAATAAGACACTGAAAATTTCGTTCAAAATACCATCGTGTTTGCCGTGACTCAAGAAATAACACCAATATGACAGATGTTATAATGCGAACAAAGGTGGTTTTTAAACAGATTTATATTTATAGACAAAAATTTCTCCCGTCACTGGTAGCGGGCCGTCTGGTGTTTGTACGATATTTCCCAGCTGGGCGGGAGCACGTGTGAATCTGCGACGTTGCCGATGTGTACCTGACTACCACACTGACATTGCTTCAGTATTCACTCACGGCAAACTAATGTGTAAATCATTATTTAGTTAGAAATTTACATCAATTTACTAACAAAATATTCACTAGTCATGAAACAAATACATTATAATAAGATAACTACAAATATAAATCTACAAATTAAAAAACACCTGTGTTCACTGCGAACGCCTGTTCAGTGCGGCAAACCTAGTCATCACTAACAGAGTAACAGACGAGGAAGAATCAGCGACACCATAGGCATTTAAAGTAAATTTTGTTGTAGTAATGAATGTTTTGACATTACATGTAATGTAAATGTGACGATGTTTAATTAATCTATAATATTAAAACGAAACTGTGTTTTTTTATTTCACGATTCTGAATCAACCACTCGACCGATTTTCATGATTTTTGTGTTGAAAGAAAGATCATTTTGAGAACTAGAGGGAATGTTGAGCCATAATTTTAGTTTAGGGTCCCAGTTTTTTAGAAATTAGGTTTTAATTTTGAAAAAGTCTAGCAGCCGACGCTAAGATTCTAAACTAGCTTTTGGCATAAAATAATTTGCTTAACATAACAGCTGTAAACATTAAGCTTTTGTGTCAAATTCAGCATTTGGATAAAAATTTAAAGACATACTTAGGGTGACTTATTTATACTATGTGTAATGCTAATAATTGATACGTTCAATTCTTCTGTAAGAGGATTACAGATTAATTAAATATACATAGTAAAATACTAGGATGTTCAAATTATTTTTAAAGCAATCTGTAATCTTCGATTTGTTTTAGAGCAATATAATTTGTTTTAACTAACAGCTGGTTAAATATAAACTATGGAACTGTGAGGTTATTTTATTTACTCTTAGTTTGTCATTGATTATAGGAAATAAGTAAGATTAGTAGAGATAATTATACCACAGTTTAAACCACAGTTTAACCAAAATTAATTAAACCACAGTACAAATCGAGGCTCTGTACACGAGTCTTAATAACAAAGGATAAATGCAAATTATTTTACTGCTACACTTTTCAAGGAAAGATTGGAAAAATAACAAGGTTTACATGTTTTAATTCTTCATGGTAGCTTTTTGTTTACAACTAATGTTTGTCTGCTTTAATTTTGTTTGGATTAGGCCCGGAAATATCGATGTCATAAAAAGATCAAGATTAATCAGGAATCACGATTTTAAATTACCACCACAACCTCAGCCGGGTTTTATACATAGATAAACAGATGGATGACATAGATTGAACACAACGTCAACATTGACCTAGGATACTGCAATTAGACAAACCATCGTTTTAAGAAATCGTGTTCAGTTGTGGTTACGTTTGGGGGCGCTGATATAGGCCCCCAAATCAATTTTATAAAATATCACTTTTATTTCAATGAATATATTGTAGTTTAAATTAACTAATATGGGAAATTAAGATGCACATTTATTCAATGAGGGTGGGTAATTATCAAGGATAGAACTGATAACGGTATGGACAATACGTCATTAGCTCTACTAGCGTGTTTACTTTTTATATTCCTGCTACATGTGACCAGTTCTTTTTTTTCAAATGAATGTTATTTGAACCAAACAGCTGTTTCAAAACAAACCGTTATTGTTTTTACTTTTCTTTGTTTACGCTTATTTATTTAGCAATTAATACAGTGAAATTGATATAAAGGATAGGTGTGACGATTAGTTTTGATGTTAGGACAGCAAAGTTAAATTATGTGTACTGTGAATTTTATTGGATATTATAGTTTTATTTTAGGTTGTTTCTATTCAGACCTAGGTACTGGAAACTATGTATAGTAGTTGTATTGTGGTGATAATAATAATTATGGAAGAGGCAGGTATGCTATGGAAGGTGGTATCGTTGACTAGGTATATACACTTCTCAATTGACTATTACTCTCTCTACTGTAGGCTACTTATAATCAGTGTGCGTCTGTGCGAATCGGCTGCAAATCTCACTTCAACGCCTTTCACATCGTAAAAATTGCAGAATTTCTGTTTTATTGTAAAATTATCGGATTTAAAATGCATATCGGATAGACCTGTGATGGAAGAAAAACATATTTGGTCACACAACATTTGTTTGCAAGATGATTTTTCACATTAAAACTGCAAGAAACTTTGTCTTTATATGCGTAAACTAGCCGATCTGAATTGTACACGGTTTTAACTGACTACTGAATTCCCGTACGTAGAACGGGCTAACACCTCGTATTTAATTAAAACACAATGATTAGTAACCAAGATGTGTCATTATTTCATTACCTATGAAATCCTTTTGAAACAACCCTCCAACAAACAGCTATCTTCTACAAATGTGGAAAACTAACTTTATTTCTATCAGTTAGTTTTTCAACTAACTAATCATTTCTATCAGTTACTTTAACTACTATCACTTACTTTTTATGGGACTAACTTCTAACTATAGTTCGGCCGCTTAGAAAGCGACCTCCTCCAGCATTGGTTTAGCATTAGCGCGCAGGTCGTTTTCTAAGCGGCCGAACTATAGTTAGAAATTTTGACTAACTTTCCCAACTATGTACTTAGATAAAATCCATTGGTGATTTGAACCCGGGTCCTCTTGGACCAAAGTCCCACACTCTAACCACTAGACCAGCTCGCTCCCCTGGAAGTGGGTGGTACTGAAACAAATGTTTTTGTGGGAAAGATTTGAGACCAGTGATCACGTGTCTAAATACAATTTTCTCCTAAATTTAAGTCAAATACTGTATACAGTCCAGAGTTTTTCCAGGGATGTTAGTTTAACCGGAAAACCCGTTATCCGGACTGGCTTTGGTCCTGAGGGGTCCAGATAAGAGGGAGTCTATTGTACATTGAATATCGGGAATGTCACATTTTATTTTTTTAAGCAATTTTTGGCTGCCTTATTGAGTATTTTCAAAAAAGGCATAATAGTAAATTGTTGGAAATTTTATTCTCTTTTGGAAACTTGGACGATTTCCTCACCATTCAAATTTTATTGCAAAAATATTAAGCAACCTCCGAATTTATAGTGGTGAAAAAAGTTGGACATTCATTTTTAAGAGTCCTTGGAGCGTAGAGGTTCTAACTCATAAAACTCATTAAAAAACTGCAAGCAAATTTCTAATCTCACAGTATACTAGATATTTAAATTATTACAATCACTTTAGTATTTGGAAAAATATTTTAAGGTGATAAATAACTCTTCAGCGGGTGTTAGAAAATAACAAAATTATAGTATAAAAGTTATAAAGCATTAAAACCACGATATTCATTTATAAACACCCAGTATTTTAGGCTGAACAGATTTTAAGTTGTTACTCGTTCTTTTGTAAATTAGCAGATTAAAACTGGGATTTCATGGCACAGTAGATAAGAGTTGATCCAGTGGAGCTAAATTTAAATTGGATTGAAAGTGTAAAATATCATTTTTATAACTTGGAAATCATAACAATTTTTTTTTATTTATATATATATGAGACAAAATATAAGGCTACAAAGCAGCAGCATTTCCTAGAAATACAGTTAGAACTAAGTAGGCCTACCAGTAATAGATATGGTATAATACCAGAAATGCACAATATGTTAGCAAAACAGACAGACATAAGTTAATTTAGAATTTTGTAAAAAAATATTGTGTTTAGAGTCCTTGTATATCATTTTTTTACCAAGAGAAATGAAAAATTGATGTAGCCTAATAGCAGATCAATTGTCAGTGTAACTTCTTTTATATATATTTCACATATTGTAATGTTTAAAAAAATGTGTAAAATATAAAGTGTTGAATATATAGCTGTTATTATGTACCTATTATTTTTATTAAAAATTACTATTAACTGTAAAGCATACAGTGATCTTACAATGGACAAGTTGGGTAAAGAACACAGCGCACTTAAATGTTTTTGTCTTCAGAGACTAATTTCCAGACTGTGACTTCCTACAGTTGCTGTAATCAGCTCTATCTCAGTCAAGTGACGTCTTGAAATATTACCCATATTGTTTCTTTACAATCAGCTGTTTCCTCTGACCTGCCAAATTTCCAACACAAAATCTTTATCATACAATATGATGCACATTTTGTAGCAGTCCTATTGTCTGATATAATTTTAAAACTAAATTTTCTGTTTCACAGTTTGTACCGCAGAGAAAATATGCGCCAGAACCATACCAGAAGCGTCGCTCTCCTGGGGCTGGTTACAGCAAAGAAAACCACTTCAAAAGAGGAAACCCCTCTGTCAGATATTACAATTACAAAAAGGAAAATCCCTCGGTGAAAGAAAACCACTTCAACTGGGAAAACACCTCCAAATATCACCATTACAAAGAAAACAACTTTCGTAGAGAAACCACTCCCGTCAAATATAACCATCACAAAGAATATCCCTTAATGAAAGACCATTCCAACAGAGGAAACCGTATCAACAGTAAATACTTCCGAGATGATAATAATAACAATAACCTCAACAAAGATACCCACTTTACCTGGGAAACCCAATTTAGAGATAACTTTTCCAACCACTCTCCAGAGTCTTTGTTTAGAGAAAATCAAAGTAGAATCCGACCTCGGAAGGATACACATTGGAAGGCTCATGATGACAGGCCCGTGGCTCAGGAGGAAGTTTGGGCTCAGACTTTGAGGCGTAGCCCACCAAGGATCCAGCCACATGTACATGAAAATGGTTCATACATGTGTATTGCCTCTGGGTGTTTCTTTCAACACTCCTATAATGGTAAACAGGTAGGTTGTTCCATATGTATTTTATTTATAATCAGTATTTCAAATCTATGTGCATGCTACATGAAATTTACTGGGTGTAAAAGCCTGGCTTGGGAGCTCTGTGCTTATAGTGTTTGCCTGGCAATCAGAAGGTGGATGGTTTGATTCTGAGAAAAGTCAATAGCTTTTCAGTCGGAAACTGTACCCAGCTGTCCTTAATCTTTAGGTTTTTTAATCGATGGTCTTGGCTAAGTAAAAAAAGCTTATCTTGGTAACATGGATACACGGGGCATCTCATTCCATCTACACTCATCCTTCACTGGCATTTCGGTTGAAATATAAATAGTAAAACAGTACTGTGTTCCTGTCTCACATGTTAAAATTATGTACATTCTGCAGGGTGTCCACATTCAAGAAAGTAAGGGATAGTAGTCATGGAAAGTCATGGGAAAATATTCTGGTCATTGAAAGTCAAGGAAATAGGCAAACATTATGTCAATATTCCTGTGGATATCTTGTGGATTTTAGGTATTAGAGTAGAACCTTAACAAGAAGACCCTCAATAAGTAACCCATGATAACCAGTGTCATATGTAAATACTCCTAACTCTATATTACCACCCCTAATGACATATTATTGCAAACCTCTATAAGAAGACAACGTTGATTACAAATCTTACTTGATAATCGTCATGAGAAACTTGTTATCAAGGCTCTACTCTATTCCTACCATTATAATCTGTTATTGAGGTTTAAATTGTAAAAAGTATGTAAAAACTTACTAAATCTAACTTAATAATTTTTCAGGTATCGTGGGATCCAAGAGATGGGAGCCTTAAGGTCACCATCCAAAACTTTTAAAACATCAGTTTTTCCACCACTGTATGTGAATATGCAATATAGGTGTAAAACGAATCTCTATGAGAGTATTCTAGGTTCCTAGTAACTTATAAGGCTGACTTGTTCCATGTGTTTTGCATAAATATTTAGTAATATTGTATGTAAAACAACTCTTTACGGGTATTTTAGGCTCACAGTAATTTCTAAGACTTACACATATTTTCCATGTAATTGTAAAAGTTTTTTAGTTATATTTTAAAAGAAATGCAGTTATATGAGACTGAAAACTAATATTTCCCATAATGGATCGCAAACATTTGCTTGAAGAGTGCTCTTAACAGCAGTATTTCTGAATATTGTAATTTTTGTTTTATTTTAAGGCCTATATGTTATAGCTGTTGTTTTCAAAACGGTTGTTCAAAATGCCTGATAAATAGCTAAGGCTAAGATAATAATAACAAGGGACCATCTACAATATATATGAGATGGGTACCTTGCTTGATTGTATAATATTTCTATATAGTTGTAAATATTTGTTTGTATACGTTCATACTGTTGTTTGCGATATTTCAATAAAAACTAAAGCAATGTATGGAATTCTTGAAACCCATAAAAAAAACTTTAGCACTATGGCCAACTGAGATAGGATTAAATCTGGATCTACTTCAAAACCCTGGTTGCAACAAGGAACTACGTAGACATGGGTTTGCCTTTTGTAGCTTAATAACATGTACTTAGCAATATAAGTACCATGTAAAATATTTGTATGTAAAAATACCTATTATCTACTACTAATACACTCTATGGGACCTAACTGCGCCTCGTGGTCAGTAAATATATTTTTTGTCGACCCACTAATTCTTGATAAAAACTGCTCCCTGTCATTGCTAAGTCCCTCTCTACACATAGCGGACATTTTAACACTTGATAAGCGCCTTCATCTCTACTAGCGATATTAAAAGTTTGTATAAAAATGTCTACATCAATCCAATAAATAACTATTATGCTGGCTTCTTTTGTAAGATAACCAGATATCAATTTCACCAATATTTCCAGTACCTGTTCTCGACCATAAATAAGTACCGTAAAGCAGATTCGTAATACACTATCAAATTTATGTGTATGTAAAGAGATTAGATAAGGGTATGGGCAATCCTAAAATGCTATGGGAAAGGGAGGGAAACAGGCCCGTGACGTAGGAAGTGGTGAAGGAAGTACTCAAGGCGAGCTGTCCGGAGTGTGGGAACTGTTTATGACGATTAGATAAGGGTACGGGCTATCCTAAAATGCCATGGGAAGGGAGGGAAACAGGTCCGTGATGTAGGAAGTGGTGATGGAAGTAGTCATGGCGAGCTGTCCGGAGTGTTGGAACTATTATGACGATTAGATAAGGGTATGGGCAATCCTAAAATGCTATGGGAAAGGGAGGGAAACAGGCCCGTGACGTAGGAAGTGGTGAAGGAAGTAGTTAAAGCGAGCTGTCCGGAGTGTGGGAACTGTTTATGATGATAAGATAAGGGTATGGGCAATCCTAAAATGCTATGGGAAGGGAGGGAAACAGGTCGGTGACGTAGGAAGTAGTCAAGGCGAGCTGTCCGGAGTGTGGGAACTGTTTATGACGATTAGATTAATGTATCTGCAATCTTTAAATGAAATGGGAAGGGAGGGAAACATGTTTGCGACGTAGGAAGTGGTGAAGGAAGTAGTCAAGGCGAGCTGTCCGGAGCGTGGGAACTGTTTATGACGATTAGATTAACGTATCTGCAACTCTGAAATGCTATGGGAAGGGAGAAAAACAGGTCCGCTACGTTGGAAGTGGTGAAGGAAGTAGTCAAGGCGAGCTGTTCGGAGTGTGGGAACTGTTAATAACGATTAGATTATGGTATCTACAATCCTAAAGTGCTATGGGAATGGAGGGAAACAGGTCCATGACGTAGGAAATGGTGTAGGACGTTGTAAAGGCGAGCCGTGTGGAGTTGGGAACAGATTTATGTATCTCCGATACTAAGACTGCTTTCAGAGTGAACTAATGATTTTCTCCGAGCAAAGCTCGGTCCCCAGATACTTTCGATTGGACACTCCAACATCAGACCCAATAGGCGAATTGGGTAATTATTTGGTTCAGCAAGTTAGGGAGAAAAACAAAGGTGTGTAGCTACTCTAAAACATAGCTTTTAAAAAAAGTTTAAATTTAATATCTCCATAAATATTGGTTTTAGGAAAAGATGTTTGAAACAACAGTTGTAGGAAAACTAATCAGAAATAAAACAAAACAAATTTCTACACGATGGTATAATAAGTGAACACTGCAATATCCAGGTTTGTAGGGAGGAAGCTCAAGGGATAAGAAGTGGGGACTTATAGGGAAAATACACCTCTTGTGGTTCTATCACATATAAAGAAATCCATCATTCCACCATTTGGTAGCGATTAAAAACCATTATTTACTGGAATTAATGTAGGTTTAATTTTGTTCACATGTATTTCTATTTTAGGAATTACAGTGTAAATTATTGTACATGACTTGCTGATAATGAAAAAGTCGAATGAAGGTTTACTAATTGAAAAAAATAGTTCTGTTCATAAAATAAAATAATAAATGCCTCAAATTCGATAATTTAATTTTTTAAATTATAAAATAAAACTGTCATAACCTAACCAAACTTGCTGATAATGAAAAAACCTAATCAAAAAGTTATATAAAGGTTATAGTATCTCCCGTGGGTTTCGTACCGTCTACCTTCAGAACATCAGCCCGGTGCGCTATCCACTACACCACCGGACCGAGGGCTGGAGAGCTCAGCAACGTGTCACGTCGTTGCTGTAATGGTGTTCACCCAGGGTTCGCTCAAGCGGTGGTTTTCTGTCGGGAAGGTTTCGTATGTTAAATGTGCAACCGATAATGGTATAAATGAAATTATGCACAAATTACATCTCTGGCTCAGCTTATTAAAGTTAAGGTTAAACCATTTGATATGACCCATAAATTTTCAAATGTCCTAGATTGCTACGATTATTACATTCGATCATGTATGTTGTATCGTTTCTTTATAATCCATGCCGCAATCTTAGCTGTTCGCTGTTCAATATCCTTGATTCCATTCTTCAATTCCGCTGCTCCCATTCGTTTAGTTCCCACTGTTCCACGTTGTTGTGACTTTGCGATTGCGAAAGTTGTTTTGTTTGGTCATTATTGTTATCTACGGTTATCAATTAGAGGTTATTTAAATTAAGTGTTCCAAAATTGTGATATATTTGCCCAACTCTTGGGTTAACCGTGTACAATAAAAGTTAAGTGATTTTATCTCTGATTATATAGCTTAATTTATTTAACAAAACAGAATAACTTATCGCAGTTTCGTCCTATTAAGCCATATGTCAGAAGAGTTGCAGAGTTCATACCTAATCCTAACCTCATAAAAGATAAGAGCTCATAGGAAGTTTAACAAATTTTGACTAGCGACACTGACATTTCTTTCTTTAGGCTATCTTTGTAACATCGCATACATTCATTCATCTTTAGGCCTAGTTCATTTAGGACAGAAGAGACAATCGAACGTAACTGGGCCTTAAGCTAGGTTATATACCTACATTGCCATGAGCCAAGATCTGGCATTAGGGTCAGATAATACTAACACTCTTGAAAAACCATTGTCCTACTTAAAAAGACCACTATTTGATCCAAAGCAGTATGAGTTGGATCCCAATTTCCGATTGACAAATTTTGCAGATTTAAAAGGATGAGGGTGCAAAATCCCACAGATGGTTCTAGAGAACCTTCTGCGGGAGCTGGAGGGCGCTGAAAAAGAGCAGCAGGTGGATCCATCCAAAATAGGTAAGTTAGCTACTTTGTAAATACAGTAGGCCTAAGTTAGAACCTCGATAACAAGTCACCCTTGATAGGCCTATGTAACAAAAGTCATTTTTAAATCCCCTTGAAATTATTTTACTTATCTGTAGGCCTAATCACATGTGATTGCACACCTTGATAAGAAGTCAACCTTGATAACAAGTCCTTTTTTATAATCCCTGAGAGTCTTGTTATCAAGGTTCTAATTAAACAGATGACATTTACATAAAAGCCATCATTAGATGTGCTGCTGTTTGAAAATATCTAGGTAAGTTTGAGAAGTGATTTTAGATATTTTCCTAGTGGCAAGAGTTAGAAAATTGAATTAATTCGTGGCGTCCTGCAAGAAAGAACAAAGGACATCAAACAAGGTAGCAAGTTATTCAGTTAAGTTAAGCTTAGCGATGCGTGGCATCAATATAGGCAAAACATCAAGTAAGGTATGTAACTTCTATAATAGGTGCATAAGACATAAGACATAATTTTTGCAGTATATTGAAATCAACACTTAGCCCATTTGTATTTATTTTTGTAGACTACAGTATCGTGTTTCTCTGCACTTAGCATTAAGTACTAAACTTGTGAAGTTCAGGGAATCATAATCAAGGCTCCGTCCAAGGTAACTAAGGACTAAATTTCTCTACTGCCTGCATCAAAGTTTTTGAAAATTAATTGTTTTGTTAGACAACTTGGGAAAACATTGACGATGTCTATTGTAATACCTGTATTACTAATGACAAATAAAGATCTTGAATCTTTGTGTTGTTGGGACTTGAGACATTAGATAGGTTCTTGAATCTATGCTCTTTTCTCTGTTGACCATGTCATATTCAAGCTAAAAACTTGTTTGTTTTATTTTGTCACCTAAATTAAATCCTTTAAATCATCAAGGACGTCACAAAATACCAACATGAAATTAATGTATCCTATTTGTAGTAACAATAAGTACCTAGCCCATTTTTGTGTTTAGCCCAGGGACATATTTAAGTATCTGCCGCCTCTAGGCAACAAAGTTTGCGCCCCCCTCGCAACTTGTCAGCGCTCTACTGATTTGTCGTAATATACAACAAACTAATATGAGTAGACGTGATGAAATAGTCAGCTGATTAAACAATAGACGACGATACCCATAGTGCACTGCGAGGGGGGGGATGAACTCTTAGCCCAGCCAGGGATCGTACATCTAATTTCTAGGACAGTTGCTCCCGTTCTCCTCAAGGTAATAGGTGTTCAATTTAGGTTCGTGCAAATTAAATTCTTCGTTAATATCTTATCTACTTTCAAATGTTTGTCAAAATATTTTAATTACCTAAAGAAACCAGTGTAGGCTACTTTTTATTTATAGTAGTAGGCCTACAGCGCAATAAATAAAATTGTCATATATTTTAATTTTCAGTTTTCAATAACCTTGGTATTTCATTCTTGGTAGAACAAATTCATTCAAAAGAGTTTTGGTATTTATTATATATAAGAAGCCACTACAAAAGATTCACATTTAAGTGCAACACTAAACATTAGTGTGGTAGTGCGCAAAAGTAGAGTCAGTGTATGTTTAAGTTTGTTTTCAAATCTGGAAGAACTTCAAACAGTACCAGGGACAGGGGGGGGGGGGCTATAAGGATCTCTGGGAATAATTTTATTCTACAGGGCCCACTATTTATCAACATCAAACTTCCACTGCCAACGCTCTGTTGTTTCCATCCAGTTGTTCCATCCCAGGGGCAACCAAGATTTGTAAAGAATTAATCATTGAAAG